ATTTTGTGAAATCGTACACAGCGAATGTTAAATGTTGTAGGATCTGAGTCTGAAAATAGGAAAAAATATATGCATACCGTTTGCAGGATCTCCGCTGTTAAAACCAATACGGTGCAATGCCCAACAGCGGAGTCAATCTGACATTGTGCACAGGAATCTGGAAAACCAAAAGCTGCTGTTTGCCAGTGACACTCGCTTGCCTACTTGGCTCATTTCACGCACATGACGATGCACATCTGCCCCAGATAGTTCAAACTGTTATCCGTTACACAATGCACAACGGCAGCAGATTACAATTCTGAAGTGTTACGCAGACATATTCAATGTCGCGTCCCAATAACACTCGCGGGTTTTGCTACTTTCAAGCAGTCAGTAATCATCGCATCTGGTAACACATTCCTGCGGAGGGAGCTGGTAGGAACGTTGGGTTGCTCGGTCAATGGCCAGGGTCAACGGCAGCGTGGTGTATTTCGCAAATATGGCCGACTGTGAGGGCGGGCACAAGCCGGCGTGAGTAGGTTAAACGTTGAGTTTTATAAGGGCACCACGGAATGACCAGCGCCTCCCCACCCAGCCCCACCCCTCCCAACCCCCACCCAGCCCCACCCTCCCCACCCAGCCCCTCTTCACCCTCCCCAGCCCCTCCCCACCCTCCCCACCCAGCCCCTCTTCACCCTCCCCTCTCCACCCAGCCCCACCCCTCCCATTTTTGAATGCACGACGGACGGACGGACACAATAATCCCCTGTGGGCTGGTGGAACCAGGTGGTTTCTACCAGTATAAGCAGATGCAGTGATGCAAGACGTGGTCCAATTGCACCATCATGTCCAAATGGATGTTCCGACGAGTATTTTTTTGATATTTTTGGGGTCAATATGTTGTAAGTTCATAAAAGCGACGATTTTCCAGGAATATCGTCGGCAAAAATATCATGTTTGGTTTCATTCATTATTTTCATTCGGCAAACAGTGTGAGAGATCCCGAGCGTGACGAAGGGACGGGCGCACTGACACTTGTGCATTATAGATGTCACGTGGCGACGGAGGCTTTCGCGTCTGTTAATTCAATAAAACACACGCGACGTGACTTTGTCAATCACGTTCTGGATGTCAGTAGCCGGAGTTTGCTTAACATCACATCGCGGTGCTCATGATCAGTGCAGATTGGCAAAGAGCGATCTAGGGATCAGCCCCAGGACCGGTTCGGATATTGTTCGCCACTGATGTTCACCGTGGGCGGGTATTGAACTCAGGTGACCGTATACACAGGGCAATGCACTAACCACTGCGCCACCGCTCCGATTTGTACTCCCGTATTTTGCGGATTATAAGACTCACTCCTACCACCCCCTCTATATTTTATAGAGGGGCGGATGTGTGTGTGTGTGGTCATAATTGTAAACATCGTCAATAGGGAGACAAAGGCGGTTCTGGTCACCCACCCCCTCGTGTGCCGTGCCGTCCTTCATAGGTGCTCGCTAACCGCACTTTCACCAACGGTATGCTAAGGCTACTGGACGTCTTACTTTCCAGAGCGTCTTGCAATCCTGAAAATCCGAATATGGATGTGCCACAGTATGGATGTCACCCAACACGGAACAGCCCTACAGCGCAAAGCGACGAGCGCAGGATCAGCAGCAGCAGGAGTAGGAATAGGAGGAGGAGGAGAAAGAGGGAGCTGCCTCCTCTTTGTGAGCCACCGCACGCAGGAGCCGTCCCAAGTCCCGCGGACGACTCACTTGGCAGCACAGAGAGGCGACCCCCCCCCACCTCCTCCATCGCTCAACTCCCCAACCCAACCCACTCCATCCCGTCTGCGCTGCCCTCCGGGGGTTCCGTGATGATGGGATGATGTTGCAGAGGCGATGATGGGAGCTTAGCTGTCGGTCGTCTGCGGAGCGACACTCGGCCGCGGTGGTGGAAGAAAGAGAAGCTGTTGACAAGTGGATATCGTAAGCAGTGCGCGTGTGTGTGTGTCTCTGTGTTGCGCGTTTGCGGAGTGGGAGTGTAGCGGTAAGCGCACTGCACTACGAACTTGGCGACACTTGCGGCCAACATTGGTGACGATTAGCTAAATTTGTCCTGGGCCTCCCTTAGTTCGACTCAGCCTAAAATAATGTACCTAGTGTACTTGGGAGACAAAGGCGGCCGGGCGTGGTGTTGGCCACTCACTCTCTCGTGTGTTGTGCTGGCCTTCATAGGTGCTCGCTAACAGCACTTACCCCAACAGTCTGTTAAGGCTATACGGGGGATATTTGTCTTTTTTGTGGTGAGTGGCGGTCGGGAGTGGTGGTGTAGCGGTTAGCGCGCTGCACCACGAACCCACTGGCAACCAGCGTTCGATTTCTACTCACGGACAACACAAGTTGACAATGATCTAAACCAGTCCTAGGTTGACTCAGCCATAAATGAATATCTGGTGCGGTGTGTTTTGAAACATCGGCGCTCGCCTTCACAGCACTTGTCCCGACAGCCTGCGAAGAGTCTGCACGTGGAATCGGTGTCGTTGCGTGCGCGCGTCTCATGGTTATTACTAAACGACACCCTGACAAGTCGTGCTCACGGTGCCCGAATGATCGCCCTGTGTGCGCGCAACGGTGTGCGTTGCGAAAGCACGTGGGTTGAGAGTACCACACTGGCTCGCAGCTCACTTGTGCCTTAACATTGACACGTGTCTCTTTTTTTCTTACGATCAGAGGAAACAAGAAGATGCTCGGTGTAGTCGGCACTGTGCTTCGTTAATCATTTTGGTTTTTTTTAATGCTTGGCTGTATGTGTCCCCCCCCCCCTTTTTTAAATGAAAGATTTCACAAAAGATGTCACGCTCTGCTCTCCTCCTTCTTACCCCTTCCCTCTCTCTCTCTCTCTTTGTCTCTTGTTGCGCTCACATGTGGAAGGACTCGTTATCATCTGTGCGTTGTGCTATAAATACCGCTCACGTTTCGGGAAATCACCGTCCTTCGGTGTAATAGTCGAACTCGGACCGATATTGTAAAGAGAGAGAGAGAGAGCGGGTCCCTTGCCTGTAAGAACGGGAGTTCACCGGTATTGATTCAAGTCAGCCTGCCTCTGCTGATGTGTCGAACCCGGTCGAGGGTTTTGCTTGTCTTGACTCAATGCTGCTGATATGATGCACTCACAAAATGGCCGCGTGCAGCTGATCGGTCGTGTATAAGAAATGCTTCGTATTTTTATTTTCGTCTGGAAAGACGGCTGGGTGAAGGATATATTTTCTGCTGATTTAGTTTCCTCTTCAATGTACTCCGTGCCCAACGTTAACGCGGTGCGTTTACGCGCTCGCGTTGGCAGGCCCTCATCCAGCAGTGAGTTGGCAAAAGGGGCTGCTGTACATGAATGCACCTGTGCGCATTTACTTACCAAAGTGGGCGGCTATATTCGTGATTACTTATTATCGTTATTACTACCCAGTGTATACTGGACATCTGTGAAAAAAGTACTGGATATCTGTGAAAAAAGTACTGGACATCTGTGAAAAAGATCTTCATAGGTCATCGGATTTCTCCAGTCTAAATGAAGATTCTGATTTTGAAACTCGGACTGAGTGTATAAGTGGCTGGCTGCACACATTTTGGTGGTCTTCACACGTGAGGGCTGTCACTCACCCATCGACCAAAGCCACAATGAATACGCAAACTCTCAGTCAGATTTCGGAAGCTAAGCATGTTTTGGGCCTGGTAAGTGCTCGGATGGGTAGTCACCCACCAGGGCTTGCCAAGTGTTTATACTCTTTGGTTCTTTCGGTAAATTCACGGAGGTAGATAAAATAATTATTATGTCACGTAGGTACAGTACCTACGTGACTTTACCGAAAAAAACAAAGAGTATGGATTCCTGCAGTCACGAAAGCTTCAAATCAAGATTTTCACATAGATAGGTTGAAAGAAAATAACAAAAAAACTACGACGTTTCGATCACAACACAAGCGACCGTCATCAGGAGGATGAGCGAAACGTCGTAGTTTTTTTTGTTATTTTCTTTCAACCTATCTACGTGACTTTACCGAAAGACCAAAAGAATATGAATTCCTGCAGTCACGAAAGCTTTAAGTCAAGATTTGCCAGGTGTTGTTGGGCATTGGCCAGCGAGGCGTGGCCAGGTGAGTGAGAATCGTCACCCCTTCGTGTGCCAAACTCTCGCGCAAAGAATTGGACAACCTCCCCAATGCAGCAGAATACTCTTGAGAAGAGTGTTACGAGGCCCAGGTAGGCTTTACTGGGTAAATAAATCATGCGAATTATATTTTTACAAAAATCACCATGAAACATCTTGCATGTCCATCGAACAGAAATGTGATACTGTACTGAGTTGGTAGTCGTGTAATAGTACAGAACACTAAAACAACTCATTGGCCTATCTTCTCTATGTTGTGAAGAAGGGCCATTGTTCGAAACTTCGTATATTGTCGTCTCTTTGGTACGGTGTAATTAACGAAAGCGTGCGCATTGTGCCGTCTCATCGAGTAGAAAAGCGCCACGATTGTCCATTCCTCCAACGTTCAGCGGTCTGTGTCCGCTGGCAGCTAAAACTCAAACGACGGCTTAAAGCAAAGTTTTTTTTCGTCAACATTTTTTTCTCTTTCCATGACGCGTGTTTGCACCGTGGCGTCGAGGGTCCTTGGCGAGCGACGGAGAGCAAACGCGGGCCCCTGGGGGATACGACGACGCGAAAAAACCACGCGACGTTCACGGACACCCATGTGCGTGCGTGCATGCGTCTGCTGTGGCGAGCGCCGCTACACGATCCAGAGAGGGGGCCGGCCCCTTTGAAGCAAATGTTTGCTCCCCGGCGAGTGGAGGTCTCCTTCAGAAGAAGGGGAGACACAAATTAAATAAATAATCGTGTAAAAGGGGGGAAAAAATCTGCCACTCGCACGGCTGCCTTCTCCAAAAAAAAAAAACCCTCTCCGTCTCGATCCCACGCCGCAGCAACACGCGGTCTCTCAGCCACCGCCTCCTCAGTCAGTCGCGGCGAAAGTGGGCGCAGTAGTGGCAACATTTACACTGTGGTGAGTTTGCGACTCTTCCACTGAGCTATAGCTACACGTGTATTAATTTAGGGTAAATTCATCTCGGGGAAGAGATTTTTCACCCGCCATCCAGCAACCGTGTGATGCAGGACATCCCGTCAGACCGTGCCAGTAAGTGCGTCTCCTCCTCTCGCTCGTTAATGAATTCTGTAATGATTAACAAGACACAGATGTCCTCCTCCTCCTCGTCGTTTCGCTCCGTGTGGTCCCACGCATTGTTGGGCCGGACGGGGGGCGCAGGAGGTAAGGGTTGGTGGATCAAGTAGAGAAGGCAAAGTTTCCGAAACAAACGCGCTGGACTGTGGGGTTCACATGAGATGGCAGTACAGCAAATATATATGTAAAAAATTGTGCGTAGTTTTTGAGTTGTTTATGCCAGCGTACTCATTGCGTGTTTTTTTCTGGGTATTCTGGACTCTACTCCCACGAGCAGATCGCTGATCAACCTAATGACATTGCCAAGATATGTGTCCTCTTGAAAAAAAAACTATTATTGAGCGCGTTCTGATGGATAACAGTCATCGTTGCTTTATGGTATATTTTCTGGTTATTATCGCATGTTGTCCAACAACAAAATTAACCCGTAAAAACAAAGTTTTTCACTATAACTCATTTATATGCGTGTTCAATGGGCCACAACCCAGCCCACATTGGTCTTTGAAACGAGCGGCTAGAGTCCTCTCGTCCTCTGGCTTGAGATGGCTGCCACCTATGGGTCAGATGATTGCCTGCCACCATTAAGCAATTGGTAATTAAATATAAAACAAAATTTACCTAAAAAGTGTAAAATTTTGGAAAAAAAATTTCCCGAAAAGAAATTGTCACGCACAACGAGTCTGTGTGCAAAATGTCAGCTTAATTGGATCACGGGAAGTGGGTTAAAAAACGACCGAAAGATTTGCACGGTCGTAAGCGCGCAAGCAAGCAAGCAAGTGAACTTAATATAAAGGATTTAAAAAGGTCCCTGGCCAGGAATCGAACCCGGGACGCGGCGGGGAGAGCGCCGAATCCTGTAAGCAATAGACCCCCAGGGACATTGCGTCAAACAACACGCGGTGTAACAACGTAAAGAACACCCCAGAGATACATGCGGCACAGCCGCGAAACCCTACAGAGTGAGGGCCATTGTTGTGACAAAGAGATCCGAAGGGTGCGCTAAGAAAGTGCGGATGGATGCACGCTTGGAATTACATTGAGAGCCAGGAAAGGGGATCGAACGCACGGATTTTCGAGCACACACGCGGATTTAATGACATCATTCAGGAAGGGACGACGATCGAGAATAATAACGGAGCGCCAGCCAGGGCACGGGAATGTGTCCACGAGGACGTCCGCGTGGGAGGTGGAGCGATTGAATCAGTGCGTGTGCTTGTTGCATAACTGCTATAGCAGGATCGTGAGAGGTGGAGGCGGTTTGAGGAATTCATCCAGCAGTGGATTGACCATGGCCAACGATGATGATGATGAAAGAGAATTGAACGTACCGAATCCAGGGTCAATCATGGAATTCATATTCTTAGGTTTTTTCGGTAAAGTCACGTAGGTAAAACATTTAAATTAATAAAAGTAAAATAAAATAAAAATCACGACGTTTCGAAGGCAACACAAGCTTCCGTCTTCAGGTGGAACCGTCACAGCCACGACAGCTGTATCAGCTGTCGTGGCTGTGACGGTTCCACGACAGCTGTATCAAGGACTTTACCGAAAAACCTAAGAATATGAATCCTTGCAGTCACGAAAGCTTCAAATCTAGAATCAATCATGGAACTCGATCGCACAGCATCAAAGCCTCCGAGTGATTGCACTGCACAGTCGACTGTCTTTGTATGATTAACCACGGCGATGGTAACCCATCCAAGGCAGGGAGAATAGGTCACCGCTGCATTTGCACAGACGTGGCCACCACCGCTGCTGCTGTTGTTGGCTTCGTTGACTTCGCGGGAAGCTGTCGCGTGTGAAAGGTGCCCCGCTTGGAGCATCCCACTGGGATTCTTGCAACACAGCATTGATATGCGGTGCTTTTTCTGGAAGACTTTGCTGTTTTTTCCCTGGATTTTTCTGTTGCGCGTCGTCACTTTAAGATGTTTCTTGTTCATGTTTTTTTGTTTGTTGCGGTTGCACCGGAGTCAAGAGCCGAATGGCTCACAGGGCTATACCTAATCAATGAACTGAACTGAAACTGAGCGGTGGCGCCATGATTAGCGCGCTGCGGTGTAAACCCGGCAACCCGAGTTCTATTCCGGGCCACACGCCTGCGTTCGGTGGCGAGTGATGATCTCAACCGCTCTTGGGCAGCTTGGTGATGTATGGCCAAGCAGCCACCACAGCGACCGATAGCGGTGTAGGGTGGGAGGCGTTCATCTCGCAGTGGATTGACAAATGGTTGTACGGTTTTTTTGCTTGTCACTCTAAAATGAACAAGGAAGCAACCCTTTATCCATTAACACGGTCTTTGTGTGTAGTTTTGAGATGCAAGATGTTTATTCCCCGTACGGAGATTCGATGATTTTTTGACGATTCCGGTCGCCGTTCGATGTATATTAATCAAGTGGTTATTTGGCCTCGTGTTTATCGTCTCGTTTGTATTGTTTCTCACTTTCGAGTGTCGTTTGTACAGCTGTGTTCACCCCATTCGTCTAAATGTAACCGTTAATTATTTTCACGCAGGGTAAATCGTCACGTTGTTTTTATGCAACACACTTTGCATGTGTCCCGAGAATGATGATCTATGATTTTAGAACAGATTGTCGTTCTCGATGTACCATCACATGGCCGAGGAATTGTTCGTACGGTATTTGAATGATAGACTGTGACAACTTGGGGAAGCCTTTAATCCAGCAGATGGTTGTTGATACATACCATAACTATAAGCATTAGCTTCGTCGTGGATACAAACATAGGTAGTGTGCAGAAATTAAATAAATACGATGCAAAATAGGCCTCCTTTTCATTGTCGTCTCTCCACGTAACATTTCATGAATGGTTTGTTTTACACATTCCATCGGCCACGCGGCCTTTAGGGAGTCCATCTATTTAGCAGCATTGGTCTAACACAAGACAACTCAGGACCGGTGTTCGACATTCCATGTCCGTGTCTCATCAGCAGAGTCAGGCTTGGCTAATTGGCTGATGATGCTCATCATGATGATTGACTCAGCAGTGATTTGGAGAGTTCTGTTGCACGTGCTCACTCCCTAACCCCTCCTGTCTATCTCTCTCCCCACCCCTCCCGGCTCTCTTCTCCCGCTCCGCGGACATCCCCAACTCCACAGACAACCTGCGGCTCCCGCGCCAGCGACGCAAGACATCGGGACACACAGGGGACCCGGCGGACCCAGAGGACCCAGGACCCCCGCACGGGGATCACAGGGAGGATCGGGCCCCGCGTCTCCGTCCCCTTGCAGGGGTCCCGATGGAGCGAGACGAGGACGTGACGCCACCTAAAGAGTGAGAATCCAGCGCTGTACCATCGCTGCTGTTGTTGTTGTTCCGACGCATTATTAGTATAATTAGTCCCATTGTTGCGTGGGGTCGGCTGCTCGCGCTTGTCTTTCTCTACGTGTTTCTTGACCGTGCCTCTTCCCCAGTCACATCAACTATCCATACATACAGACCCCGTAGACTTAGAGACTTATAGACTCACACGTACATGAAACACAGACTTACATAGAGACTCATAGACTTACATAGAGACCAGCCAAATGTCACAGACCCATACACCACGTGATTTTCTGCTCAAATGGAATGAGCATTGAGGTGGTGCTCATCTCCACGTTCGCAGCACAGAGCCAGTGCTGGAAATTCCACATTCGTATGGCGGGGGCGAGTATATCCATAAGACAATCACTTTTAACTCCTCCCCCCACTGCCAAAGTGATACACATTGCATCGACTTGGAAGAGATTATGGGCTGAGTCAACCCCAAACCAGGATGTGAACTATCAAACGATTGCGAGCCGCTCGCTCTGCTGCTGAGCCACCGGGGCCGGTGATGCCAAGTCGAGCTGCGACCATCATCGACGGTTGAAATAATCACTTCATCGATCGCGTCGAGCCTTCCTAGACCTGATCATAATACTGGTAGTAACCTCCTGGTTACACCAGCCCACAGCGGATTATTGTGTCCGTCCGTCGTGCAGGGAGGGGCTGGGTGGGGAGGGAGGGGCTGGGTGGGTGGGCAGGGGTTGGGTTGGGAGGGTGGGGAGGGGCTGGGTGGGGATGGTGGGGTTGGGTGGGGGGTGGGAGGGGTGGAGTTGGGTGGGGAGGGGCTGGTCACCCCGTGGTGCCCTTATAAAACTCAACGTTTAACCTACTCACGCCGGCTTGTGCCTGCCCTCACAGTCGGAATAAACCACGTCGCCGTTGACCCTGGCCATTGACCGAGCAACCCAACGTTCCTACCAGCTCCCTCCGCAGGAATGTGTTTAAATTATTTTATTTTATTTTCAGCCCTTGGTGAATCCGCTGTTGGACATGGCCTTCATGCCATGTCGGTCATTGTGGCTGTTTTTTTATTTTTAAGTCATACTTCACTACAGTTGGTCAGTGCGGGTTGGTGAAGTATATTCATATGAATGTTATTTATTTCCGATGTAATTCAATAAAGTAAGTTTTAAAAGATAATTAAATCGATGTCATTTACAAATCGTGGCAATTTCCTTCTCTCTCTCTCTCTCTTGCCACTCTATTTACGTGCTACGTGAAGAAGGGCCATTGGCCGAATTGTCGCCAGTAACACATTTAGCCTTTTAAGGCCACGACATTGTTATTGACGAACGCTTTGAGTGTATTCGTTATAGCTGTGCTTGCGCACCACTGGCAGCAGCAGCAGCCTAATGTTCCTTATGTATGTTGAACTTCTTTCGGACCGTACGTAGCCAACCTAATCACCAAGCCATTGGTTTCATGCGTTGCGCGCGTTCTGCTCGCCATTGTGACCGTGCAGCGGGGGGGAGCGCGCCACCGGCTGGGAGACGACTCGAGGCGCCGAGTCCGAAGACGCGCCCTGGGACAGTTTCCGCGTCCTGGTTCGCCTGCGCCCGGGCGACAAGAGCGACGGTGCGTCCCCCCAGGCGTGCCGCGTGGTCGCGCGGGGGCCACATGCGTGGAGGGCAACGGGGGAGGAGACGCTTCGGTTAACATCGTCCATCGGTGGCGTGGGTTTTCCGGCACGAAACCCAATGCGAGATCATTGCCGAGGCTCGGTGGCGAAACGCATTTGGTCAACGGGCGATCTCGCCAACGCTGGATCTCGTCAGTGGTCTGCACAGCTGGAGTTTCACGAATTATCCACCCCCCCCCCCCCCCCACGTCAATAATACGCAGAGAGCATCCCTGTACACGTGGAACGTAGGGCGCCAACGTTGGGCCAAAGGTCCCAACCGTATTCCAACGTTGGCGCAACGATGGCATGTGGTTTACTGCAATTGTATCGCTGAGAACTTTGCACGGCAGACTCAGTAGCTCGCGGTATAACTCTGAGTTAAAGATGAGCCGATCTGTCGGGCTGCAATACAATTCGGCTCGGTATTTTTAAAAAAAAATTTGTTTACATTTGTTTACCCACTGAGTCTCGTGACACTTTTTTGGGGGAGGGTCCTGGCAAGTTTTTGTGGTAGTGGACGATTATTGCTATTTATATACCAAGTGAGTAATTCGTGGGTCGTTTTTTACATTTGGCAAATTTGGACCATAGCGTCGGCACACAATGGCCCGCTCTTGTAACCGATGTCATGGGAACTTTAACATCTACTGTGAAGCAAGACGGCGTGTTTTTTTTGGTTGATAGCTTAAAGATGAGTGGTGGTTCGTGGGTCTAGTTTGAGGAGGCTACAAAACTCCAGTCTTGGGTAACAGGTCCAGGTGGTCTAATTTAGAGACTTATTGCGATGGCAGTCGTTTCAATATCAGCGCTTAGTCCACCAGATAGGCACATGCAGGACGATATTTATTATCACCACCATCATCATCAATATCAACAGCATCATCATCATGAACGTCATACGCCGCTTTATTATTTCGATCATCAATGAATACAGCTGCTCGTCTCACTAGAGACTGAAAAACCCCGAGAGAGACTGATGCCATGTGCAGCCAGTAATTCACACGTAGTAATAATAACAATCTATGGATAATGATCATTACCTCCCATTTTCAGCCATAGCCTTGTCACGGTATCCATTGACACACTGTGTCTTGTGCTGCAGAGACAAAGCGATGCGTGAAAGTAGAAGGACAGCATGGAGTTCAAATCAACACTGGCCGGGTGAGGACTGGTGCATTCAGAAGTTCATCGTCTCTTCTCAGTGCAGTTTCCCATTATTTGAGGTCGGCTTTCTTTTGGGGTTTTCACTCCCCACTCCCGTTTCTTGTGCGCAAATCCCCGTCGACGCCACAGTTCCTTGTCTCTTCTTCTGTCTTCACCGTCCCCCATTTTTTGGGTCTTCCGACGAAATTGTGGTCGGTGGTCTCAGAGCCCTCCCTCCACACAGCTATCCTTCTTTCGTATGGCTGGTGGAGATTTGGAGCAACGACTACAATTTCACATTCAGGTGGTCAAGCCAGATAACCACGCCAGGAGCATCCGAGTGCACCGCTGTGATGATGAGTTGGTTGCCGCCTGGCTCAGCAAGACAAGCAGACGATGATACTAATAATGATGCAGAAATAAATGATTAAACGCTTGTTCTGCACTCTCTTACCCGTGTAATCCGTGTCTCTTCTCTCGGCATGTACAAACATTCTAGACCAGGGGTCGGCAACTAAAATACAAGAAGAGACATTTTTTGTTCGAATTTGGTCAAAAAAATCATTATTTCAAGAGCCGCAATGCGTGTGAGTACGGGACTGCGGTCCGTAATAAATAACGTCACGAAGCAGTCCTTAAAGAGCCGCTTGCGTCTCTGGAGCCGCAGGTTGCTGACCCCTGGTCTAGACGATACTCCATCATGCTCTCGGTAATGGGTGCCACTTTCACTCATTCCCTAGTGGTCTCGTTTGTGATGTGGTCTGTCCTTGATACATCCGTCATCCACCTAAACGCTCTCATCTCTGTGGAGTTCAGTGTTTGTTTTTAAGCTTAATCATACACCATCACTTTTCTCCATACCCCATAATCAGCCGCAACATTGCTCAATGGGTTTATGCGGTTTAGCTGCGTAGCGCTCCGATGGTATTTTCTGGTCGTACTGTACAACATGCGTTACAAACCCCAAACACATTGGAGATTTGCCATACAGATTTTCCCTTTCAGCCAAGGCCACTTTTCTGCCACAAACTCTTCGGCTTTCCTCTCTATACTTAATCCGCACTTTCTTGAGAAAGTTGATGTTCTACAATTCCCAAGCAATCTTCATCATCTTGGTCATCATCCATTGCCGTGTGCCGTTGGATCGAGGCCTCTTCTCTGCTGGCACCCATAGTCATCGTCTTCCATTCACGCGAGCGAGCGAGCGACTGCTGCAGGCCTAACGGCGCTTGCCGTGACACGAGCGGGCGTGCAATCGACGCGCGTGTTCCAGTCGACGGTTGCGGCCTGAAATGAGAACGTAACGCGTGAGGTGTGGAGCAGGTGGCGGCTGCTAATTGGTGCTTGCGCGGCTCGGCGCGTGTGACAGGGGAACCAGACGCAGGTGCTGGAGTTTGACGCGGTGCTGGACGAGGATGCCTCGCAGAGGGACGTGTACGAGGCCATTGCCAAGGTAGCGGCCGCTGCTCTCCGTAAAAACGATGGCCGATATGAATCTAAACGATACTTGTTTTTATTATAAAACTGAACTGTTTTTTGTTCTTACCAGGTAAGGTCCACTGAGCCTATATGGATATTTTTCAGAAGCGACCTGGCCCACGAATGACAGCCCGACAAAGTGGCCTATGTGGAAATGTATAGCGGCCAAATACTCTCTAAACACGTGATGTTGATTCTAAATGTGGAGGGGAAAACCCAGAGGAGCCGGAGAAAAATCCACACGACCACGGGGAGAGAGAGAGAGAGAACATGCAAACTGCAAACATACAAGCGGCAGGGTCGGGATCGAACCCACGACCCTCCTGTATACCAGGCGAGGTAGTTAGCATCTTGCCACTGTGGCGCCCATTCATTGTTCCATCGTGTTGCAGCGTCGTCACTTGTTCACTCGATGCATAATTATTTAAGAGACGCCGTGGGTGGGACGATTTACCTCCTCCTCGAATGAATGGCCGTAATTCAGGGTCGCAATTTAATTCGAGCATCGACAGGTTTTTTTTTAAAAACTAAACATTGCTGTGAATCGTATAAAACCTCTAGTGGCCACAGATGTCTTCCTATGCTCCTGTGTGTTGCCACAGATTGATATTCAAATCACTCGACCACTTTATTGCTGCCACGTCAGAGAATTCAATCAATATTTGAATGCTATCTCTTGGGGCTGCTGGGAAACATTAAAGCATTTCACACAATATGCAGTAGACACGAATCAGGGGAAAACATAATTACATACGCAATTTGATGCATGTATCGTGAGATTAAAGGGTCGATATTAATTGAGAAATAATTACATTGTGGTACTGTGTGTTGCCTGAAGGAAAGTTACGACATGCACCTTTGGGTAGGGCAAAATAACGTCTGCTGCCCGTGTTGTTGATGGGCTTAATAGTTATTAAAATAGCATTTGTATTTGGCTATCACGTGAGGGTTAGTGAGGTCAGCCATGTCATAGATGTGTTGGGTAATTCATGATTATTCGGGGTCAATTGAAGTATCAATAGTTTTGTCGTTGCTGTTGTGTTGAGTTTAGAGTCTCTTGTGGCTGCAGGGGTAACCTGGACCAAGCACATACCACTTATTGATTTCTTTTGCACACGATTCGTGTACTGCAAGTGTAAGAACACATTTCAATCAAATAATCAATAGAAACTATTATGTGCCTTATCAAAGGTTAACAGGTCATATTGGCCAGTGCTGTGGATGTCGCCACACCGTTCACACGCCTACATATTTAATGAATACGTTGCTTATGGACGGAATTGTGGTGTAGCGGTGAGCACTGTGAATCCAGTGACCTGAGTTCGATTCCCTGCTACAGCTTACATCAGTGGTGAGTGATATCTGGCCAGTCCTGTATACCGCCACTCCTTCACCAGTGTGGTGTAGTTTAGTCAAACAACCCCTATGACTGACACAGCAGGGGGAGACGTTTGTCCAGCAAAGCAATGACAAAGGGATGTAAAATAACTTATCACAAGTGTTTGTGGCGTGGTCTATCATTGGTAGCTTTTTTTGTACTCGAGCAATGAGATGGCACCAATACCAGACCTGGTTTACATCTCAGCTTGCTTGGTGAGATGGTAAACCATGGTTACTGAGACACTTTACTTGAGGCACTCACGTGTCTCGCACGACTGCCAACACTCAGAAAAAGCAAATATCCCCGAAAGCGAATATTTAAAACTTTTCTAAAATGCTGGCGGTGCGTGCGTGTGCGTGTATGCGTGCGTGAGTTCGATTACCGCTCATGGTCAACACCAGTGACGATTATCTAAACCAGTCCTAGGCCTCCCCAAAATCGACCCAGCCTCAAATAAGTACTTGATGCGGTGCGTATAAACATCGCCACTGGGGAGACAAAGGCGGCCGGGCGTGGTGCTGACTACCTATCCACTCATGTGCTGTGCCGGCCTTCATAGGTGCTCTCTAACAGTATTGCCCCAACAGTCTGTTAGAGCTGCACGTGGTATCTTTGTCTTTGTTGTGTGTGTGTGTGTGCATGCGGTAGTGTAGTGGTTAGCGCGCTGCACTACGAACCTGGCGACCCGGGTTCGATTCCCGCTCACAGCTAACACCAGTGACGATTATCTGAACCGGTCCTGGGCCTCCCCTATGTCGACTCAGCCTCAAATGAGTACCTGGTGCGGTGCGTAAACATCGCCACTGGGGAGAGACAAAGGAGGTCGGGCGTGGTCCTGGCCACCCACCCCCTCGTGTACCGTTCCGGCCTTCACAGGTGCTCGCTAACAGCACTTGCCCCCACAGTCTGTTTAGGCTATACGGGGGATCTTTGTCTTTGTATATATGTGCGTGTGTGCGTGCAGCCCCTGGCGCGGCGTGTGCTCGACGGGTTCCACGGCTGTGTGGCCACGTACGGCGCGCCCGCCACGGGGAAGACGCACTCGCTCTACGGCACGGGGCTCGGCGGAGGCCGCCAGCGCGGGCTGCTTTCGCGCGCAGCTGAGGACATCTTCCAGGGTGGGCGAGTGCACAAATCCGCAAATAATTATTTATTTATTTGATCCACAATCGATTCATCTTCTTGGTTCTTTCGATAAAGTCACGTAGAAGGGAAATAATAAAATAATAAAAATAAAACAAAATAAAATAATTCTCACGACGTTTCGGCCACAAAGCAAGCAGCCGTCCTCAGGTGAAGAACAGGTCTGTCGGGGAGACAGCGTCAGACGCTGTCTCCCCGACATGTTTTATTTTATTATTTAATTATTTCCCTTCTACGTGACTTTGCCGAAAGAACCAAGAAGATGAATCCCTGCAGTCACGAAAGCTTTAAACCACAATCGATTGTTGGGTTAGGCCACGAAATTATCTGGCCAGATCTGGGTCGTTAGACAGACCCACCCCCCACCTCACCAACGGACATAGCCAACACACATTAAATTGTTGCACTTACAGACATTGAACACGCCAATTATTGTTGAGCTGAATAATTCTCGCAGCCAAAATTAATCATTAGATACGCGACGTTTTGCTTGAAACTGCGCCACGTATCTCTGGCATAAGATACATGAAGTCGGAAAAAAACCTACGCATTAAGTGTTTCAGTCACAAGAGTGCACCTCACATCACAGAATTTCGCACAAGCGAGGACGCGGCCCAGTGGTAGCGCGTGCTCGCTGCTTATTGCAGAAGCTCGCAGGTCAAATACACAAGGCCACGCTGGTTAATATTGTGGGTTTATTAACCATGACGCATTCACCGCCCGCTTCACATTGGACGTTGAAGATTTCCTGAGGAGAATAGGCCGTATTGTACTGACGTCGTGGTCCAAATTTGAACAATTGTACCCGCAAATTACGCAATTTACTTTCAGGCAGGAGGAAAGGTTGTGCCTTCCTTTAATAATGGTCATGGATCCTGTTGGCTACTCCACATGGGCCCCCTTGGCTACTCCACATGGGCCCCCTTGGCTACTCCACATGGGCCCCCTTGGTTACTCCACATGGGCCCCCTTGGCTACTCCACATGAGCCCTCTTGGTTACTCCACATGGGTTCCCTTGGCTACTCCACATGGGCCCCCTTGGCTACTCCACATGGGCCCCCACAGAAACTTTATTCCTCTGCCCCCTAGCATTCAAGATGGTTCCCATCTACCCGCTCAGCGTGGACACGGCTCCTGGAGTAGGGCATGACTTGGGTTGATGCATCACCACCGTCGCCTAAGGCGGTGTGTTCTTGTCTCTTGGAGATGGTTGGCCAGAACAGTTCTATACGCGGATCGTGGATAGGACCCATGTTGACTTTACTCACCCTAGGCAAAACAAGCTTGCATTTGTGTGAGTGCGTGAATTGGAAGTGAGTAATGTTGGTACTGTTCGTTAATCTAATGCTCAAACTGTTAAAGCGAGTGACAGTGCCATGAGTAGATTATGGACCATTTAACACACATCTTGTTTTTTTCTGGAATTTAAGAATGCCAGTTTTGTTTTTCATCAAAACACGAGACCCCAGGGAGCCTTAGAATTTAAAACAAACTTGGTCCATAAAACTGTGTCAAGAGTTGTTATTTTTTGTACCAAACCTTTGCTGCGGTGAATCCAACACCACTCATTTTGCCATTGACAATAGTAAAATGGGCATAATCTGGACGTTTTAAGTTGATGGTCTCAGACAAGGCTGTGTGAATTAAACACGTGGTACGTTCACGTCATGTGGCATACAAGGACCAGTTTTGTGGTCGCAATTGTTCCATTTGCTGTCTATAAATCACCATTCGCGTGCAACATTACTCTTGCCACTCATTTTGACGTGTCTGACTTGCGAGTGCAGGGATACAAAAGTCAAGCGTTGGCTGCACACATCGGGTCGTCGTTTCCTTCATTCAGCTGTGGAATGAGCGACTGTACGACCTTCTGGTTGGTTGGCCTACGACAAGTCACTTGCATTCCGGTCAATAAACTCCCATTGTAGAATGCCGGTTCATTCAATATTTACACGCTCACATCCACGGCAACAGAATCGGAGCCCGGGACACAGAATGTGATAATCACCAAATTTGAAGAAAGGTATCAGTTGTGCTTTTATAGTTTCTAAATGAATGGTGTTGTGAAAATATATATAATTGATTACCCACAAAAGTATTATCCAGAGAGTAACTAGGCTTTTGTTGAGAATTAGTGGATTGAGTGGACAAAAAATGTGGGGAAATTATATATAAAAACATTTTTTTTACAAAATAACAAGTGGATTGTGAAGTGTTCCTATCGTGCTAGCAATGGTTGTCATTGATATCTAATCTACGTGTGTGGGTTATAATTTTTTTCTAAGAACACAACCAAAGATATTCTCAGTGTGATCCTCACATTGATGGCCGAGGGTCATTGAAGTTTAGCGGATTGCTCCGTCTCGGTGGAGACGATGGGACATTGCTTACACAGAGGGCTCGTCAGACTCAAAAAGCCCTCTGCCAACTTGTGAATGTCACCCATTTCACATGATAACATTCTGATTTCTATACACTTACATATACCATAGTGTAGAGTGGATATCCGCCTACAATAAAGCTACAATAAATACCGTTATCATTTTTGCATTACTCAGCCAACTTGATGAACTTATTTGACCGTTGCTGTTGTTGTCATTTTGCCCGAAGGATCACCAGCATACAGACAGAATCCGAATCCATGAGACTGACGAGGCAGTGTCGTTGGAGGGGCTCGTCGAGACGGAGGTGACGTCCGTGGAAGGTTTGCTCAAGGCGTTCAGGAAGGGCATGACCAATCGGAGCGCAGGTGTGTGTATGCACGTCTTTGTACAGTGGTTGGCGCACTGCACTACAAACCCAGCCACCCGGTTTCATATCCCGCTCACGGCCACCACCAGTGACGATTGTCTGAACCGGTCCTGGGCCTCCCCTAGGTCGACTCAGCCTCAAATGAGTGCCTGGTGCGGTGTGTAAACATCGCCACTAGGGAAATAAAGGCGCCCAGGAGTGGTGCTGGCCACCCACCCCCTCGTGTGCCGTGCCAGCCTTCATAGGTACTCGCTGACAGCACTTGCCCCAACATTTTGTTGAGGCTATATGGGGGATTTTGTCTTTGCATTGCAGTGCTCAACTGAGTGCCATTTAATTTCTTACAGATTGTTTGGAAGATCGATTGGATGGCTAAATATATATCTGCATAGTTCCAAAATACTTATACTACTCACGAACCGGATAGAAATGCATATTATGACCTCTGTATTCTGTGGAATATATCCATTCATGATGCAGTGAATAAGTTGAAGTTGAAATGAGCTACACATGATGGATTCCATGCAATTCAAGTTATCACATTTCTGTAAACTTACACCATGGTACATTGCAGCGGTATTGGCTGTCGTAATAAACAATGCGGTTTGGCAGAGCGGTAAGGTACTCTCGTCTTAGATGAAGACATTTTGATTCTAATAAGCCGGTTTATTTCTCCCGCTTTTTAAATACCACACAGAAAGTGATGGCTCAAGGTCTTCCGTTTGATCAAAAACAAAGCGATTGCAATCATAGCAGCTTCATCAGAGACACCCGCACCAGATGGGGCCTGTTGAAAATCCATGCAGCCTCCCAGGAGACGTGCTTTGAGAGAACCCAGCACTGTTTATATCACAACACGTGCTGCCTCTGCTGTCCGGTAATGAATCTACCACCTGTACCTGAAAATGAAAAAAACTCTAACTCACCGAGGGTGGGGATTGTGTCCACTTCATGCTGGAGGTCAGGTGAATTACTCGACTGATATTTTTGCAATCATCGGTGGCTGTTACAAATGCTGGGTGTGGTGGCACTCGCCGGTATAAATCCAGAGCTTTGCAGACAAAGGTCTGTGAACCATGTTGGGCTCTCGGGTGGCCAGGGGATGGCAAGTGGATTCGTGAATCCTTCCGTGTGGAACTTTGAAAATGTATCCCCTAGTGGGCAAGGTGGATTTTCTGAGTACTCCAGTTTACTCCCACTTGCAAACCATATATGCATGGATTAGTCCAAACATCCCAATGCGGGACCATCCTGAAAAAAAAAAATCTTGAGACTCATAGAGTGAGGCTTTCCTGGATAGAAACAAAAAAATGTAATTTTCAGTGCACTGGTTGTTGTGTAATACTATCACTAATTCTGCTGCTTGCTTAGAGGGAAATATTTACGTTTCATCGCCTGAAGGTTCCAATAACCAAGCAGAGCAGACAAACAAGACGAGCTCATACCTGCGACTGTTGCTCCATTCCCTCCCTGCACCCTCCCTGCTGCATAGCTCACAGCGTGCTCCAGGCAGTGGAATGTGCACACATGGCCATATGAAATAAATAGACATCACCAGGGCTTCATTTGTCACATTTACTGCGTTAATGGTGGGCTGGAGATGACACGTGACTTGTAGCCACGGCCACGTGCTCGATGTGTTGTGCCGGGTGCAACAACATTTGTCCGGGTGACTGACCGAGAGGAACAGGAGTGAATTCTAGATTTGAAGCTTTCGTGACTGCAAGGATTCATACTCTTAGTTCTTTCGGTAAAGTCACGTAGGTAAAAAATGAAATTAAAATTAATAAAAATAAAACAATAAGTGCAGCAAATCTGGCTGTGACGGTCCCACCTGATGACGGAGACTTGTGTTGCCTCCGAAACGTCGTGATTTTATTGTTTTATTTTTATTAATTTTAATTTCATTTTTTACCTACGTGACTTTGCCGAAAGAACTAAGAGTATGAACAGGAGTGAAATTAAGCACTCGACTTCAAGACAAAATAGCACAGATGTTTTTTATTACAAGTTTACATGTAAACATATCATTACTATGAACGCACCTTTACTACCCGATGGCATACTGTCGTAAGGCCCAGGCTGATGAGAACTGGTAAAGGTGCAGCCCCGCAAGCTCCATTACACCACTGCTGGTGGAAGAGCCTCCACTAGAGGGAGCTCTAGAGGGCCCCTTTGGCCCACTTTCCCATGCTGGCCAGGTGCCTCATAAAAGGTGGCAAATAAGAGCTACATACCTGGTCGTGTTTTACAGGTGTGTTCAAGGTAAAAGGATTGCGTTTGTACAGAGCTATGAATGAGAATGAAAGAGATTGCGAAGCTTTTTTCAAACCTCAAAGCGAAGTTGTTTAAAAACAACGCAGAGCATCGCAAGGTCGACGAACCTGGCCGCGTGAGAGGAAACTAAAGTCGGAAATATGGAGGAAGAAAAAAAACTCCACGTGGTGTCCGTTGCCATAACCCAATTGGAACCCTTCCACATGAAAGCGAACTACAGTGTAAAATCGGAGCTGTGTGCACAATCAAAGGGCGCTGTTGGTTTTTGTTGTTTTCATAGAGTCGACGCATTTCTACGGGTTCCTAAGAAACCCTTAGACTGCTGGCACGCGAGCACCGAGCAGAGGAGCATTCCGGGTGACAGTGATTGTCCTACTCTTTGGTTCTTTCGGTTAAGTCACGTCGGTAAAAATAATATAAAAGAAATCACGAGTATATTGAGTTTTTTTTTAAGGACGGGCGCTTGTGTTGCGTTTGAAACGAAGTGATTTATTTTATTTTATTTCTACCTATGTGACTTTACCGAAATAACCAAAGAGTATGGATTCCTGCGGTCACGAAAGCTTCAAATCAAGATTGATTGTCCTTTTGGTCCGCTGGTTTCTGCTGCACGGCAGCGTCGAGCCATAGAACGACACGTCACCACGGCAATGAAGAAGGGCCATTGCCTGAAACGTCGACGGTTATATATTTTTCTCTTCAGGCAGCCTCATCAGGCTGTCGCCTTGAAATGTTGTCGCCTGATGAGGCTGGTTGTAATTAAATGGCGAAACGTCGTACTTTAATTGTACATGTTGTGGGTTTACTCTCCAACACACCGGTGTGCTGGACTAGTTAACTAATTGGCATGTTTTGTTTACGTGATGAACCTTACTTATTGGCTGTGTCGGCTGGTGGCGGGTTTAACGACACATTTATATTTACGTGATCGCACTGAAAACAAACCCTATTAAGGATAATACTGGTCATGAAAGCCTACTAAGTTGACGAGTATATTGAGTTTTTTTTAAAGACATTTCAATTGTTTTGGAGTTGATTGGCTAAGTAGTTTCTTCGAACGAATGAGCGATCTCTTAAATTCTCCCGTATCATTAACAAAACCTTGAAACTCAAGTGTGACCAAGTTGTGTGAAGCTAAAACTGAAAGAAATCATCACGATCCGTGTTCTATCCACTGCTGCATGATCGCCTCCACCACATAGTTGACATACCTCATGGTTTCGCGATGTCACAATCCATCTTACTGCTGCTGCTGCTGCTGCACATGAGCTGATCTCATTGTTCCATCTCCACAGTCGTCAGCCTCGAGAGCGGATTCCCTCCGTTGGCTGCCATTCCATTACCAGTCTCCTCTGGCCATTAACCGATCTGAGTGGTGCGTCTTGCACAGCCCACTTCTTCTTAACAGGCAATATAATGTCTCGAATTTGCACATGGTCTCAGATTGATGGATGTGTTAATCTCTGTCTTTTGCGTAATTCCAAGCATTCACCTCTCCATGCATTTGTGCAGACTTTTCAGTTTCCGTCCCACTTGCTTTGTCAGAGACCATGTATTTTTTATATTTATCAATAGCAGGCAATAAACGTGCACCAAGTGGACACTAATTTGGCACATGCGTTGTTACAAATCACGATAAAATTCAGTTTTATTCAAGCACTCTGCCCTTTTATTGGTCACTTTTAATTACACCATTCTGATCCCGGTCCGTCTTTAATAATTCCACGAGGTACACATACTCCGTCGTGTTCTGTAGTTGGGGCCCTCCCACATTTTTTCACAACTTTTGTTTTGCTCGTATTTATCTTGAGCTCAAGTTCGCAGCTTCCTTTGTTAAGTTCTTCTATCGTATCGCGGCAGCTCACTTTCAGCGGATGTTATAGCAGAGCAACAGCATAACCATTGTTATTGGCATCCAGAAAAGACGTGCTATTTGTACGTTTAACCTTGGGATGAACGACAAGGGAAAATGACAATTTGAGACTTTACACGCAACGTTATGCAATTGAACGTCCGTATCCAATGCGAGTTTAATTCGTTTATCTGTGATCCAGGCATTTCCAAGGGAGAGATTGGCAGTAGGAGCCACACCATATTCTATATCACAGTTGTGCAGACTGTGGTCCACACACAACAACAACGTAAGTGATCCCCACACATTCCACTCGCTTTGCGTATTACTAATGCAAGAGTCCCCGTGTTGCTGTTTACATTGAGGATATACTGTACGTGTCTGCATGTAGAATACTTTTTTTGTCAGTCCACTGCTGGATGAAGGCCTCTCCATGCTGTCGATTCGTGGGGGGCTATTTAACCATACTTCACCACGCTGGTCAGTGTGGGTTGGTGAAGGCAGGGAGCATAGAGAGCAAAGGAATTTGCTGGACTGACCTCTGTTGCCCACAACATAGTAGCCTATAGCACCTGTTATGCGTGGTGGTGGTCCATCCAAGCACTCTCCGGACTCAACTCTGTTTAGCTTAAGAGATCTGACAAGATCGGGCACATTCCAGGTGATTTGGTAGTTTTTTTTTCTTTCAAATTGTGCTTTTTTCAACAATTGCTGCTAATGTGGCTTGTAAAATGTTGTTTGAATGTTTCCTAAGTTCTAATGGTTTTTCTATTGATTGCGTGGTAAGCGTCTTATATCTCAGCACATTTGAAAGGGGGCACCTTCAGTGGCAGCTGTCCCTGTGCGTCACTAGGTGACTCAGCACCTGCCCTGCCAACGGGCGTTAGTCTTCCAGTAGGGGGCGATGATTACAAGGTGCAATCGCAATTGAGTAAATTCGTGGATTTTTTTCTTTGGGTGCAATCACAATTGAGTAAATTCGTGGATTTTTTTTCTCCGAATTGGCAAATTTGCACCATTACTCTGGCATAACAATGACCTACTCATTTTAAATTATATGAAGTGATGTATAATGTCCCTTGTGATGCAGACAGCATGGTTAGTATTTTATGGTCTAAAGCGATAACTCATTTATCTTAATTCAAAACTAATTTCTTTAGAACTGCTTTTTGTGTTCAGTTTGTTGCCCTTTCTCCGATAAGCACAGTTGGCTACGTACGGTGTGAAAGAAGTTTAACATACATACATGGTCAATACACACTGCAGTAATAACTAGGGCAGCTTGCCGGATTCGAACCGCGAACCTCTGCAACGAGCGGTGAAAGCGCTACTACAGCTGGGCTGCGTTGGACGCACTGCACGTACAGAACAGCACTTGTATCTATAACACTTTGATATTTGCAGCGCAGGAAGCGACCATCATAACAGGAAGGCTGACACTTGTAAGTAACTTTTTTATTTATTTTCGCACAAACTCTGTGTTTATTTAACAACAGCGGGACGCGGTTTTGCACACGGGGTGCATGCACAGCTGAGCGTGACTTGTTTTGTTTCCATTGCCAGGTGGATCTCGCTGGATCAGGACGGGTAAAGTACCACTCCGCTTCACTCTGCGTGATCTATCGCCAGCACAGCGGCCATACACGCGGTGCCCTTTGATCTCATTTTATATGAAAAACGTTTCACGAAAGCAGCTGTTCTTCATTTTCAGCTGAAGGTTACCATCCCACGTACGTGTGCTGGAATGCCGGTCCGTGTCTCTGGAGCACCGTTGTTCACCCCCATCTCTGTGCATTCACATGGGCAGCGGCGTACCCGGGCAACGTGAAACATTGGCCCCAACGTTACATGTCGACTGGGTAGCGATTGCGTGTGCAGGCAGTGCAATTGCACCGGGCCCCACTGACCAGAGTGGCCCAAGCGCACTTAATTCCCCGCAGTAGGGCCAATGTCAACCACGCTATCCCACTGCCTGGCTGAGAATCGAACTGAGATGCCGGAGCAGTGAATTGATTGCAGCAGAGTACCGTGCTGTTGCTCCCCATAGGGTCAGTGCGAAGCGCGTACAGCAGTATTCCCCCATACACGCCAGGGTGTCTAATGATTCGCCCTCCCAACGATTTGATAAATTGCTGTGCTTCAGGAAATTGGACAGGATACCCCCTCGGCACCACGCCCCCCCCCCCGCCCTAATTATTTTTGTTCATGAATCAGGGCTAATGCCATCTACCCCACGAACGCGAGCAACAACTCGATCCGCCGCCGCCGCACGCGTTGCCACATTCACGGGTTCTCCCAATCGACTTCGACGCCTTCGCCGCCACCGCCTCCCCGTGACCGTGTGCAGGTGGTGCGGAGAGGAGCGCTCGGCGACTCGGAGCGCGGGAGGAGGCTGTTCCCGACCTCCGGCGAGGACGATATCAACGATGCTAAGAATGTCAACCGATCGCTCACTCTGCTCGCCAACGTGAGCGTCACACCTCGCCCCCCCCCCCTCCAGCACTCGTGTGACCGCGCGGGCCCCCCGCTCCGCCGACACAGACGCTGATGCGCCACTTCAAAACCGAGGGGGGCCCCAACCATCTTGTCATCTGCAAGGGAACACGGCGAAGAAAAATTAAGGGCGATCAAAATAAATGGGCGAATTCTTGTCGAGTCGAGCACGAACGCTGTACGCGGGGAAGATGTAAATACGTTGTTCGGTACTTGTTGTCTGTTGACGCGGATGTGGTTTACGTGGATGCCGTGTCAGGTCATCTTTGCTCTGACCACCCCGGGCTGCCAACACATCCCGTACCGAGAATCCAAGCTCACGCGCATTCTCCGCGACTGGTACCCTACAGCACGCATGCGTTGTTACTGCGGACAAATGCACAAACGCATATGTGCACACGTTATACGGATGCACTGGGGAAAAAATAAAACTAAAATGATTTTTTTATTTACCAGGTAAAGCCCACTGAGCTATACAGCTCTTTTGCAGAAGCGACCTGGCCACAAATAATAGCTCAACGAAGTGGCTTATGTGGAAATTCATAGCAGGCAAATACTCTAAATGCATATTTATTCTAAATGTGGAGGTAAAAACCAGAGGACCCGGAGCAAAATCCACGCGACCACGGGGATAAAATGTAAACTCTAAATATACAGGCGTCAGGTTTAGGATCAAACCCACGGCCTCCTGTATACCAGGCAAGGTAGATAACATCTCGCCACCTTGTACCACACACATTCTCACATTACATTTCCCTCAAAGGTCAGCAAATAAATAATTAGTTAAATTTACGATATGCTAAATTAATTACCATGTTCACTTACTTTGCACAGTAGCCTTAGCCATTCGATTTGAAATCTGAAAAAAAATCTCACTGACACACTTGCCATGTCTGTCTCCCCCCATTTCACGATCACCGCACACCCACCCACCTGATAACCCACCCACCCACCAACCCACCCGCCCGCTCAACCACCCGCCCGCCCACCCACCTACCCACCCGCCCACCTGCCCGCCCACCCACCCGCCCGCTCAACCACCCGCCCGCCCGCCCACCTACCTACCCACCCACCCACCTACCCACCCACCCACCCACCCGCCCACCCACCCACCCACCAACCCATCCGCCCGCCCACCCACCCGCCCACCCACCCACCCACCCACCCACCAACCCACCCGCCCGCTCAACCACCCGCCCGCCCACCCACCTACTCACCCGCCCACCTGCCCGCCCACCCACCCACCCGCTCAACCACCCGCCCACCTACCCACCCGCCCACCCACCGTTGGCTACAGCCTGGGCGGGAGCTGCTGCACGGCGCTGCTGGTGACACTGAGCGCCGGTGCTCAGGCTGCTCACGAGGCGCACGGCGCCCTGCAGCTCGCCGCTCGCGCACGCACCATTGCGTGCCGCCCCATCCGCAACATCAGCGTGCGGGTTCGTTCCGGCGCCAGCGCCACGCACTAAATGCCACGATGCATGAGGGGTGGGCGGTGGCACCTGCACGTGGCTGCCTGTAATCAAGTGCCAAGGGTTGGCGGATCGCCGCACGAGTGCTGCAAAATGCCCTTCCCATGGCTGTCAAAGGGGAGCCGTACTCTGGCTCGCCAGGAGCAGGGCGGTACTGCAAAGCACGGACTGATACTATCTGTCCCTTCTGTTGGGGATGGAGCTTTGCCTCCCTGCACTCGTGGGTTTCTTCCGGCTGCTCCGGTTTTCACCGACATGCATTTACGCCCCTTAATTGTCCAAAAACATTGAAATATTTAAAGGATGACAGAGCTTGGAAAATCGTTGGTGCCGGCTCACAGTGTGGTTGCCTTCTAGGCTGTCTGTGGTTCCTCATGTGTCTGAGTTGTTCTCGCTCCCTGAGAGTGAAAACTGTGCGCGATACAATTTTAAATTATTATTAACTTGAGGGTAATTGCTCACAAACTTCAATATTCCTGTTAGCTTTACACACATTATCGAGCCATACACCAGACGAAGGAGGAGGGCAATTGTCTCTGTCGGTCTTATGAATTTAGGCTAAGCATTGGCACTTATACAATGCTTAAATGCCACGCAGGCTCATTGTAAATGCGTTTACTGTTGGCAACTATGGCAACTTAGTACGGCATTGGCTCGAAGCAACGGAGCTCTGGCAGCCATTTAATGTACTTGGTCATCAACATTGGCCACCAAAAATTGGTCGACGGTTTGTGGAAAATTGGAATGCGGTGAATCGGCATAAACGTGCAACTTCCCGCGTAAATCGTTAGGGTTGGAAAGTATGCCATTTGCAATGATGATTGCCGGCCACAATTGCTCTAAAATCTACTGAGTGTATTCAGGTCTTATTGGGTGACCCTACACATCGGAATAACTTGCTGTAGCCACAGGCAGTTCATGGGCCCTGACGAGATATTTAACCACTCAAGATCGCAAAATGTCAGTGGTCAGAATTGCTTTATATGGCCAATGAAAGTGAATTGTTTGAAAACTCGTTAATATTTGCAGGTCATTAAATATATATATTGGTCAAAAAAGGAATCATGCCACTAAACTGTTGCCACCTCAGATGGAACCAAATTCTGATCTGACCCTTGGGCTAAGGGGGCCCTGAATGACGCTAATGATCAAATAAAGACAAAATGTGTTTATGTAACCCCTGATCGTGTGTGTTTGTATCTCGGTGTTACTGAGATTTTAGTTTTCCTGCAGAAGCAGATCAATCTTTTGCGAGCACTGTCACAGTGCGGAACAGAACATCCACTCCAAAAACAGCCGCACAATCGCAACACCGAGTGCGTGCGGCGACTGCAAAAGCATTCGGTTTTCCTGAGGCTGAGAATTATTTATTCTTGAGTTAAAATCATAGCATTTACCAAGAACGCATTATGGGGCAATTCCTTTAAACTCCTATGCAATGAGTAATGCGTGTTGACGTGTTATACGGTGTTATGTACCGCAGATTCAAATGGTTTTGTTTGTGGCAGCGATTCTTAAGCTTGCTAGACTCGCAGGTCCCTGGAAACCATGAAGGTTTTTTTGCAGACAACTGTCAACATTAATTTCAAAATTAAAACTACTCGAAAGTTTTCCATCTGCCAGAGTTCCGCCGGCCACAGGCTGGGAACCACCAATATGGTTCATGTACGGTGTTGGTGCGCCATCTGCAGGCAGTGGCATCTTCCTACATTAAACATGTTTTAGTTTTTGGTGATTTATGTGTGAAAACACCTTTGTGGATTGCGATCGTAGTTTTTAAGTTGACGCTGTGAATGGTTTGCTGCGTTGTACGACAGGCGTCAGAAGCAGCAGACAAGAGTGACGCAGAAGGGACAAGCGCCATCGAACAGGGGCTGAAGAGGGTAAGGTTGCGTTACGGGAGGGTGGGGAACCTTTTCGTCACTGAGGGCCCAAGAGGACTTTCAAAAACCCTTTGTGGGCCACACATTAAACACACACCTCAACTTGTCCTTGCCAGAGAGGCAACTTTTCATGTGTTGCATGAAGGATTCGGACCGACTTCTGCACTTGCAAACGGCCCTTGTAGTGATAGTAGTGACAAATAGAAACACAGGGTTTCCAGGTGGAAAATTATTCCCTGTAGTATCCAATTAGTGGTGCTAAGATGCTTGCCGTTTCAATGTGGTGGGCCTCGAGACTGCAGGCCGTATGAAATTGAATTGTAGACAGAATACAGCCCATGGACACGCTCATTACATGCAAAATTCTTGCCACAAATGAACCACAATACCTCGCTGATCTCGTTAAGGAGCATAAACCATGACACAAATTCAGGTCGTCCTCGCAGTGGCTTTTGGCTGACCATCGAACAAAGACGGTCACTGCGTCGTGCGCTTTCAGATGCGCTTCTGTGGCCATCTGGAAAGCACTTCCTTCAGATATTAGGAAGCCACTGGAGCTATGCACTTTTAAATCTAGATTGAAAACAAATTTTTTTTATAACTGCTTTTTGTATTTTGTTTGCTGTCCTTCCACCGTACCTCCGATTAGTACGGTTTGTTACGTACGGTGCGAAAGAAGTTCAACGTACTGTACATATATGTGGGCTGCATGTATGTCCCCCACCCACACTTTACAGTGGCACGCATTGTCGAGCACTGTGTTAGATGAGATGCACCCAGTGAATGATCACGACGACGATGAACAATGTGTGCACGCATGCAGCTGTCACCAGCCGGGCAGCACAGCACCAGCTTCCCTCCGATACACCCGGCTCCATCTCCACGTCCCTTCGATCGGACCCGCTCCGCCCAGCCGCCATCTCTTCTGCCCGACGACTCCGGCAAGGAGCTCCGGGAGCAGCGCGTGACCCTGCCGCAGCTCTCCGAGAGGTCCCCAAAGTCGCCCAAACCCACGGCGTCAGGCGCGGAGGGACGGGGCGGCGGCCTCCCGACCGGTGGCAGGCCGCCCCTCGGCCCCGCCGCGGACGCGTCCGAAGGCGGTAGGGAGCAGCGGCCGCCGGCCAAACTGGAGCGGCTGGTGGCGGCGGAGGTGGAGGGCGCTCAGCTGCCGTCTCAGACCACGCTGGCGAGCGGCCCGTGTTCGAGCTGCCGGCGCGAGCGGCGAATCCGCGAGGAGTACGACAAGTTCGTCGTGCAGGCGCGGCGCGAGCGGGACGCGCTGCAGCGGCGCGTGGCGGAGCTGGAGCAGGAGCTCCGCTCCCGGGACGTGGCTCCGGGGCGCGGGGACTCCTCACGCGGCGGTGGCGGAGGAGGAGGAGGTGGTGGCGACGCCAAGGTGGAGCTCGGCGCGGAGGATGACGTCCCGCGTCGCTCGTGGCTCACCGGCGACGGGGATTGCGCACAGGTCTTCTCCGTCGCGGAGGAGCGAGGCGCGCAGACGAACGGGCGTGGGGCGGAGGAGAGGGGTCCGAAGGCGGCTCTGATCGCGCCGGAGCGGGGAGATGACGATGCACAAGCGAGGAGAGGCTCGAGCGTGGAGCGGCACCAGGGATGTGAGGAGAAGGCGCAAGCCGCAGAGAAAGCGATGGCCGCCGCACAGAAAGAGAGAGTAAGGGTCCTCGTGTCCGCGGTAGATGAAGAATATTGATGGGACAGGCGCGTCTCACTGTTCGTAACAATGACGTGCAATCTGTTGATGTATTTCTACTCGAAGCTTCATCGCAGTATTAATTTTAGAATGAAGTACTTATGTGACTCGCTTCCTTTCATAGAAAAAAACGACGCCTCAGGTGTTCTATTCGCAGGTGAGGAGTGCAAGTGTATTGCTTTTATAGATGGAATGTAAAACTGCAATGGCAGCGTGGAGGAGGTGGTGGTGATGCTGCTGCACAAGTGCTGGGCTCCACCAGAATGGTCCTCCTGAGAAGTTGCGCGGGCTGTAAACGCCCGTCTGGTGGAGAAAGCGCTGCCACTGCTGCTGATGATGAAGCCACGGCCAATTAATGCACCTCCACGAGTTATCGCCTGAGTCTGGAAAACCCGAGGCAGATTTTGTAGCCTTCCAGGATGCCAATGCATGTTTGTTTGTAGTGGAAGGTGATGTCGACACAGCATGTACGTGTGGAGTAGTGGTGTTTCTAATTGGCAACGTTTTAGGCAATGACCCTCCCTATGGTGTGCTATGAAGATGGTGCCATTGCTGCAATGTTTTCTCTTATATACTTTTCCTTTTAAGGCAGTGTTATTGATGAATGAGATGTTTTTCTGGAAAACCAATAGGTCCATGAACTAAAACATTTTGTTCATATTTTTTAGTTATATGTCAAAACGCAGAACAGAGCTCTGCTTATATTTACTGTCACCCGCGGTGCTCCTGAGCACCTTACAATAATATGAAGAGTTGGACTCCTCACTCTGTCCGTGGCTGCGACTGCAGGACTCGCTGCTGGTGGAGGTGGAGGAGCTGACATCGCAGCTCCAGCGCGAGAGGGACGTGGATCCGGGCCCGGCGGCAGCAGCCGCAGCAGGAGGAGGAGGAGGGGGCGGGCGACTTGAGAGGGAGCGTCTCTCAGCCGAGCTGGAGGAGCTGCGAGCTCAGCTCGGCAAGGCCCGGGAGCGCGAGCGGCGCAAGCTGGCCACGCTCGAGGGCGAGAAGGTGCGGTGGGCTCCTGTGGTCGGGGGTGTCGGGAGAGTGTCAGGGTCTGACGGGGCTCACCTCGTTAGAGTTGGGAAAGTGGCTCGGGTAAAGAGGAACGTTTCGCGTGTCAGGAAACACCATGCACGGTAATGGAGGCCACAACGTGAGCGAATGTACCTAAACTAAAAACTAAAATGAACTATTTTTTTTTTTACCAGGTCAGGCCCACTGAGCTATATAGCTCTTTTTTCAGAAGCGACCTGGACACAAATGATAGCTCAAGGAATTGGATTATCAGGTTGAAGTTTATAGCAGGTAAATACTCTGAACGCATGTTGATTCTAAACGTGGAGGGAAAAACTGGAGAAAAATCGACGCGACGATGGGGAGAACACGCAAACTCCAAATATACAGCAGCAGGTATCAGGGTCGGGATCGAACCCACGAGCTCCTGTATACCAGGCGAGCTAGTCAACATCTCGCGACCTCACTGGTCTTATCCATAACACTACTTGAAGCAGCCAACCAGACCCTAACACTTGTCTTACACCTAACCGTACTAAGAGTACCACATCCTTACACTAGCCTTAACCCTAACCACACTAGCCATTCAAGCCCTTATACCAGTCCTACCCATAGGCACGCTTCGCCCAGGCTGCTTTCTCGCTTGAGGTATGTTTCACCATGGAGGTTTGCACCACACTGTGGCAGAGTGCGTGACTTACGTTCAGAAGCTCACGACTTCGATGCAACGCGTGGTCAAGAAAACTGAGTCTCATATTGCGCGAAGTCTCCAAGAGGTAGTTCAATGGAGAGACAAGGCTCCAACCATAAGAATGTGTAATTTTCACTAATGGCTGAGAGCTGCTTGCGGCGGATGAGAACTGAGCTGCACTTGTGATTCGCACGCTCCTTCTTGGTTCTTTCGGTAAAGTCACGTAGAAGGGAAGTAATAAAATAATAAAAATAAAACATAACAAAATAATTCTCACGACGTTTCGGCCACAACGCAAGCAGCCGTCCTCAGGTGAAGACCAGGTCTGTCGGGGAGACAGCGTCTGAATTCAGACCTGGTCTTCACCTGAGGACGGCTGCTTGCGTTGTGGCCGAAACGTCGTGATAATTATTTTATGATGTTTTATTTTTATTATTTTATTACTTCCCTTCTACGTGACTTTACCGAAAGAACCAAGAAGATGAATCCCTGCAGTCACGAAAGCTTTAAATCGAAATTCGCACGCTTGTGAAACTACATTGAGCGGTGTGTGATGTGAGCAGAAAATCTTTAATTTATTAAGTATCCATATTACTTTTATTTCATGGGAACAAGATCTTAAACGGTACATTACTTTGTCATGCATTATTAATTGATTTTGTCTGCTGATTTTTTGTCACTATTATAGATATACTTTGGAAATAAATCTAAATCAACGTTGTATTGCTGCCATCTCCCCGGACAGGACGTGAATGTCAGTGGTATTAACTTGGCGCGGTACAGACGATTCGGGTTGTCATTCTGCGCTGTGGTGTCCTGCAGGATAGGCTACTGCAGGAGCTGCAGGACTCACGGTCTGAGGCCGGCCAGCTCAGAGGTCAGACGCGACAGCAACAAGTCGACGCCGCACGGGAGAAGGTTTGGGCCCAACTTCCTGTTCGCTCAGCACGTTTCGTCAGATGAAACAAAATTGTCATTGCCGTGTGTTTTTTTTTTACCGCCCCCAAGAAACTAAAAGTTGAATTTTCTTCCAGGAAATTCTGCTGGCGGAAATTGAAAAGCTGAATGGTCGTCTTCAGAGGGTGTGTATTACCGTACATTGTATCTACGTGATCAGAAATGTTACGTTTTTGGATCGGTCTGTCAGCAAGTCATGGCACCTACTTGAGAAAATTGTACTGTGCAGAGTCGATTAAGGGCTCATTCCTACCGGAAGGAACTAGATTTGTATGATATTGATGATGAAGAATCTACGATCTTTACCTGAGGAAAAAACTGACAAAAATCTATACCATGCTAAATCTTAAAGGGTTTAAGATTTTTTTTTTTTTACTGTATTTGATTCCTGTTAGTTGAGAGTTGAGCAGTTTTGTAAAATTAACTGAAATCATGTTTACCTTGCTAATAGGACAGGCTGGTGCTAACATGTGTCATGTTATTATTTCTATAATTATCTCAGTCATACTACCTTTATTGTCATACCATTAGAGTCTTCAACTGGACACCATGCTTTCCTAGCTTCGCCACCACTGTTGTGTATGGTATGGTAAAGTACTGTATGGCATCGCCAATGGCAGAAGGTAGTTCACTAAATAACGCACGATGTATGAATTCACATTACCCAGAATGAGTTTAACCTCATCAGATCTCGGAAGCTAAGCAAGTTTGAGCCTGGATAGTGCTTGGTTAGGTGACCGCCATGCACACCCGGCTGCCATAGGTGGCTGCGGGGCTACGTCACGAGCAGCATTGGGCAGTGCCGCAAAACCCATTTTGTTCCAATGCTCCCACGTCTATGCTTCACCAACACACGCCGACCAGCTTGGTGAAGTTTGGTCAATAAAACCACACACACGTGTACAGCGTGGGGAGGCCCTCATCCAGCAGTGGGTTCACAGACGAGCTGCACGTGTGCGTCGTTTCGCAGCTGGGTGCCGAGGCCGCCCTGCTGAGAGGGACGGTCGAGCGGATGGAGAGGGCCCCAAACTCGCACCCGTTCAAGCAGCCATTCCTCGGTCCGGAGACCCAGCTGGGTCAACGAGGTGGGTGCGCCCTTTCCACATGCGGCAAACATGGCATGTCTCGATCGCCATTAGTTTGTTAAAAGGCAACGTTATCTATCTCTCTTTGTATTAGATAATTGCATAGATTGGTGTACTAATGAATTATATATGGATGCATGGGTGTCTATGCGTATGTAATGTGTGTCAACTGGCCTTCTCTAAGATGGGAGTTACATGGAGGAGGGTGATTATCTTGAGGAGCTCAGCCGTGCCCGGGAAGCCCTAAGGCAAACGTAAGCCACGCATGATCCAGCCTGCCCACGAGTCAGCCACACATCAGTTGGCCTGCATACCAACCCTGTCCACGCACGAGCCAACCACACACTGTCCCTGTGATTTTATGTAACAGCACAGCATTTCCGTATAAACTGCACAAATTGCGCTGTGAGTTTAAGAATATCATTTAATTCATGAAGTGATGCATTGGTGTAGGCCTCCTCTTTACCACGAATGAGGCTTTCATTTTTATTGAATTCCTTTAGCACAAACTCATTGCAATTGCAAGTCTATATTAATATTGTATAGAGTATACTTAGATCCGTAAGTCGGACTCTTCCAGAAAGATGCTATTATTAAATATCAAAACATTGAATGGTTGCAGTGGCGGCGGTGGTTCATGCACTGCACTCTGAACCCGCTGACCTCAGTTTAGTTCCCAGTCCACGGTTACCAGCGTGGTGAAATGCGTTTAAACAACCACCATTACCAACACGGTGTTGGGAGGCCTTTATCTAGCAGTCGATTGGTCAGTGTGAGTGAAGTCGCGTTGTACTACCCAGTGCCGGTTCACATATTGCTCACCGCTGACTGACGTTAGCCGTGGCTGGGAATTTAACGCCCCCTTCAAAAGATCCAACTGAATCCTGGCGTCTGCCGCTCGCCCCTGTTGCCATGTGGTCTCTCCCCGCAGTCGGCGAGAGAGGAACCTGCTGCTGGACGTTATGAGCATCATGTACACGCGCCGCTGGTTCGCGCCAGAGGCCACGGTGCACGTGCGCCGCACCCTGCAGCGCTGCGGCGTGCATTCTGCGCAGCACGACTGAGAGACGCGGTGAATCGGTGGCACCGGCCCACCGGGCGACTGGGCACCCGCTCGGTGATGCGGTCCCAAAGTCCGTCACCACGCTCGCAGTTTAACTTAAGAGCTCCTTCTTCAGTGAGCCCAGCTGAGTGTGCGTAAAGACCCCATGTGTTGTTGAGTGTCGTGTTATATTCGGCATAAACGATGAGAATGGAGGACTTTTGGAAGCAGAGCTGGGGTCGATTACAGTTGTAATTGTATTTGCTGCTGTGGTTAAGATAATTGACCACGGGTCTGGTGGGAAGTCTGGAAAATCTCGAGTTGTGGGTACGGGAATCCAACGGATAAAATCGGTTGGATGGATAGACTAATAGAGCAGGTTCAGGAGGACACAAGTCTAATTGCAACAAATCATAGTGTCATGACGATTTCGACGCAATTGCCTTGAGATGGGTTCTTTGTTATGGAGCCACGTGCTCACACTCGGACAGGCGGAGACCCTCCACTGCAACAGCCCCGAGTCTCCCGCGCATCTCCCTTATATACGGTCTGAGGCCACGCCCCCCATTCCGGAACCTTCTTGCTGGTTCTAGACCGCTCGCTCCACCAGCAGACTCCACCGTCCTCTTCTGTCACCTGGCCACGCTCCTATTCTCGATCATTCCCGTTGCCACCAGTCCATTCGTACTGCAGCCTGACTCCCCTGTCATTACCTCCTGTGGCCACTAGTCCACTCACACCGTATGTTGACGCTCCTGTCAATATAATTGGATGAGAAAAATCCGGATTGGTTGACTTTCCAGAGCGGAAGGCTTGCTGAAGGAAGCTTTAGAAAGATGTTGCAGAAAAGCTAAGACGTAGAAAAAATGTGCTGCTTGGTAACTTGAAGGGGTCCCGATGGTGAAATGAACCCAGAACCAAATGCCCGATTGCTCGGAGGCCCAGTAAAACCGTGGGCACAGTCCCGGTGACTTGCTCATGTGCTGGCCGGCGCCACCGCTGCTGGTCAATGCTGGTGGCATGGTGGGACATGGGTGCCATGCAGTGGCGTGCACCCCGGGTGTTGGGCCGTCGCGTGACCGACGGAGGTAGTCATGCTAGAACGCAGCCTTCACGTTCATACGTGCACTTTTGTGTTGGTATAACGTTTGTTTACATCCATAGATGCTATTGCTACGCCTGTACGTTGACATGCGCGTCAGCATAGTGTCAGTAGATGTTTACCTGCAGGATAAGTAGAAACTGTATAAACTTTGACCACTGTTCTGTGTGTTTTGGCAGACATAACGTATTGCACAATGACAGCAGGTTTTTGCAACCTGTCCATTTAAAGTGTTTTTATTTCACAGAGCCCCATGTTTGCAAGTTGCGGTGTGTCACACAGAATTATTATTTACATTGTACTGCTTGCATTTGCACCGAGTGAACATGAAATATTACCAAGAGAAAATGTTAATTTACCTAAATTACTGTATTGGTAAACATAACATGTAATGCTCACATAAATATTAATATTTGTAGGCCTTAGCAGGACCCTCGGTCGAAAAGTGACATCAAGTATAGTCCCTGGGTGTCTACCAGGCCAGGGTTGAGAGTTTCCTCGCTGAAAGGCCGTTCACCCACGCCTCCCACTTTACGTACCAAATCAAACGTGAAAAGTAGATCCTAGCACAGGTGTATATTTACACAGTGTGGTTTTCAGGGCTCTATTTCTCCCCCATTTTTATCATCTATCCCCCACCTCTTCTTCAGCATTCTCAAGGATATGCAATTGAAGTCTTCCCACCACCCAGTGCTGCTGTGATGCTGACATTGCGTAGCTGTTCATGCCGACACAAATCCATCTGCCGCATGAGAATCAATTGTGAAAGTCGCGTGTGACCATGCAGCCCGGCAGCTGCAACTGGCTGTCTGTGGGATGCCTGCCAAAGCCAATGAGAGGTGGCACCGCTGTTTGCTCCTGGACCACGTAGCAGAGGCAGCCTCGCCTCCCTAGCAGTCGCTAAGACGCCCCAAGGTGGCTGCTCTTGGCATTCGCAGGAACGCGAGCCTACGCGGTCTCCACTACCATAGTGGACTGCGCCAAAATTATGGATCTGGGTTGGGACGACTCCCAGCGTGTTCACGACGCACAGCAACGCACGAATTCTGTCGGTCGGCCAACGACAGAGCGTTGATTCGTCCATGCACGTCGAGTGTTGTTGTTTTGTTTTGGTGCAGCCTCATCAGCCACTTATCCACCCAGGTGTGAGTGGAGCAGGGATGTCACGCAGTGGTCCCTAACCCATGCGATTGTTACAGGCCACATCGGTCTGCAGGGTCCAGCTGCAGGAGGCAGATCCTCTCTATAAAGCATCGAAAACTATTAGGATAGGGGCCGTCCATAAATGACGTCATGTATCTGGAGGGGGGGGGGGAGGAGTCAGACATTTGTGACGATTTGTGACGAGGGGGGAGGGGTTTGAGAAATGTGACGTCACATCAAAATGCGCAACTTTAAAACACATTCCTCCTGCGGAGGGAGCTGGTAGGAACGTTGGGTTGCTCGGTCAATGGCCAGGGTCAACGGCGGCGTGGTGTATTCCACAAATATGCCCGACTGTGAAGGCGGGCACAAGCCGGCGTGAGTAGGTTAAACGTTGAGTTTTATAAGGGCACCACGGGGTGACCAGCCCCTCCCCACCCAGCCTCACCCCCAACCCAGCCCCTCCCCACCTTCCCCCTCTCTGCACGACGGACGGACACAATAATCCCCTGTGGGCTGGTGTAACCAGAGGTTCCTACCAGTATAAATATCGTCACACATCGTCACAATGTCTGACCCCCCCCCCCCCCAGGTGCGTGACGTAATTTATGGACGGTCCCGAATGATATCGGTCAATTACATTTATATATACCGACGTGTCAACAGCTTTATCTGCTGAATGCGTAAAGGTACTAAATACAATATTTCCCAGTCCTGTTCTTGACCAATGCAAACCATCAGGACAACTGTGCAAATACAATGACACAGCCAGTCGTGATTGCGTCATGTCCAGGGCAGTATCGAGGAGATTGCAGTCAAGACCTCCCAGCAGTTGAATGATTTTGGCTTTTTTTTTTAAAGAAAATGACTTTCCTTTTAAATGTGAACTTTGGAATTTATGAAGTGCAAAAAGTGATAACCACCATCTACTCATTTGACATTAAAATGGTGATGGAAAAAATGTATAAGCATCGGTGTGGGTTTGCTATTTTACACCTTAAGGAATAGTTTACACAAAATATCGAGTTGTTCTCTGCTCCAACAACCAGGACCCCAATCTCTGAAGAGTCGCAGTCTCCTGTGGCTCCCGTAATGTTGACCTCCCACCCCTGTATTCTTGGTTCTTTCGGTAAAGTAACGTAGAAGGGAAGTAATACAAATAAAACATAAAGTTCTCACGACGTTCAAGCCACAACGCAAGCAGCCGTCCTCAGGTGAAGAAACAGCATCCTAATGAACACTGCTAAGCTTGGCAGCGTATTTTAAGCTGGGTGGGAGGAGGAGAGCGCCTTGACAAGGTCCAAGACCTTCCTCTTGTGCCTATGACCAGTGGCGTAGTAGCGACATTATCAGCTCAGGGGGTGCGGCCATCGGTCAGGTGGGGCCCCCAATATTTGATTTGTCTCACTGAGGCTAAATATCGCCGCTCCTCTTGCCTAATCACATCGTCGTTACACTCACGGTCTTTGATATTTAACGCTGTAGGGGCACTCCGCCTTCGCAGAATGCAGCCACGACAGCGTCGCAGTACCACTTTGCAATATTACATTACTGCTGTAATTAAATCAAAACATTAATCTAAATGAAAGCATTTTCACGTAAATTAATTTTAACCGCGTTTTAAATAAGGTTTTGTTCCTTTGCACTGTTGTTGAAAACATCTTATGGCAGTTGTCAAGGGGGCCCCAACTCGTAGCTTTGGCCACGGGGTGGGGGGCAAAGGCCCTCCCTGCCCCCACGCTTGTTTACGCTACTGCCTACTACACATACAACGTACTGTATATATATAAACACACACTTGTCCTTTGCCCGTGATTCACGTATCTATTTGCAGATGCAGCTGCATTAAACGACGACTCTGTAATCCAACACTGGATAAAAAGAGACAGACCAACAATGTGTTGTGTAGCTTTGTTTTAGACGTTGTACAAAGTACACTGCAAGCCCAATTTGTGAAGACAAGTTGCTTACCTTTAGTGCTACATTTCACAGATTGCTAAGATACGAAGATAGATGAAAATAATGTGTTGACAAACATTAACGTGGAATGTTAATACCAAAAATTGCAATTGACAAAAATCTTGAAATGCAAAACAATTAAAATCGTGTACGCAGGTTGCTTTTGAGCACAATTTAAATTGGTTACTTTCACCCATCGTCACATATTAAACTTCACTTCTAATTACAAAAATAAAGGGTGACCTTGATGCCCCGGCGCAATATTAAAAACATCATCATCGCTATTAAATAATTATAATTTAACACATTTTTATCAAGGTCAATTGAACTATACACACACACATATACTGACTTGGTAGGATGAAGATTTATTTCCTACGATTTGTATCCCTAAACCTCTAAACGTCCACCAATGTTGGTGACACACACGTCCTAAGTTCTCACCAACATCAGGTGAAATGCGTCTGTCAGTGCTGTTCATCACTCAAGCTTTTAAGTTGAAAATTTTAAGCATACAATTGCAGTATGTTGCCAACAGCAACCACGCAGTTCAACTTGCTGTCTCAAAAAAACTGTAAAAAAAATGGATGATACCATTATTGACAGCTAAGCAACTGTTCTAACTGTACGGGAAATATTTTTTTTCAGGATGTCATTGTCTTATGTCCTTGCGTATATATCCATCCTCCCAAGAGATGGAGCGCTCATTCTGGGAGGGGTGGAATCCGAGCTGGCCTCTTTGTTTTCTTCCTTCGGTCCGTGTGACCCTGTGTGCACACACAATGCAGTACCAGTCTCGCTTGAAGCCAATCAAACAAGTGCAATATAACCAATGAAACGAAGCTGCTACAAAACCTGCACAATTCCACTGCTTTTGTACAGGGGTTACGAATATTCCCGAGATAAGGGAGGCTTGGACGTTACTTTTATGCAGGGTTAATGGTGGTCAAACTCCCCTTTGGTCCATAATTTCATGTTTTACCAAATCTGCAGAAATGTCGACAAGGTAATGAAATCCATAATATAGGTTTTTTGGTTAGATCACGTAAATGTGTCGTTAACCTCACCGCCACCCGACAGCCAATTAGTAAGGTTTGTCACGTGCACAGAACATGCCAATTCATTACTAGTACAACACACTGGTGTATTGGAGAGCAAATCCACAACATTTACACGTGTGCTGACAGTAATTCTTAAGTAATTGAGATTCTCCAGTGCAATCAATTTCAGTTAAATATGTTGCCGAGATGTTAACTATCACGCCAGGTACACAGGTTTTTTTCCCTTCACATTTATACTTTTAGAGTATTTTATAAGCCACTTCGTTGAGCTATCATTTGTGGCCAGGTCACTTCTGAAAAAAAGCTGCATAGCTCAGTGGGCCTTACCTGGTAAAATAGATATAGTTTAGTTTAAATGTGAGTCACCACACTTCAGAACACACACAAAGCTCCGTTTCTATTCATGCAAACCTCTTGTGGTCTTCAGTGTAGTCGCTGTCCCACTCATCACTGAGCGACAATGAATTCCGCTTGTCCCTGTGTTTGGCCACGCCACGGGACCGGGATCCAACCCGCACTCCACCACCCGCCTGCGAGGGAGTGAGGGGCCAATGCTGTGCGGGTCCCCCGTGTTGCGTGGGGTCATCTGCCACACTGGATGATGACGATGCACTGTTGAGTGGGTACATAATGTAAAATCACACTTGGGACCAGAAAGAGTGCATTCACACCCATATTCACTTCAAACACTGTCATTAAGTTACTAAATTTTTCTGTAAGCTCGACGTTTTTTTAATAACAATAATTTTAACAGGATTTTGTGGTTCACTGCATTAAGTTGTCACCGAAGCAAACGAGACAATTCAAATTCTGCAAAAGCTAGGGATAATGGTATTTTATATTTGCCTTTTTACACAATCTTTTGAAATTCACATCACTTAAAACTGCATATATGTACTCAACAATTCTCAAATTCCAATGACTCATCCATGGACTGCAGCACATTTGAGACTGAATGTAAATTTAAATATTTCCTGAAAACAGTTGGTCAAAACGTCTACCACCAGTGACAGGAAAACAATGGCTATACTTCCATCGCATAGGTTTTTTTTGGGTTAGATCGCGTAAATATATAAATGTGTCGTTAATACCCGCCACCACCAGACACAGCCAACTAGAAAGGGTTGTCACGTAAACAGAACATATCGGGTGATGGCGGGTTTTAACGACATATATATTTACACAATCTAACCCAAAATAACCTCTAATGGATGATATTGGTCGCGAAAGCCTACATGTTAAAATGGCTATACTTCTAGGACTAAAATTATTCCTATTAATTATTTCAAAACAACACATTTCTTCTTTTAGCATCTAAAAATGTGATCTGTTTGTTGAATAACATTGTCAGTAACGCAAGTTGTGGGATCACTGTCATAAGGCATGAACCAGATGCACGTTGCGTACCTCGACCGACGTCCTGAATCGGAGTCGTCCTGACTCTGCTCCTCAAACATGATGTGAACACCCGGCATGTGGCCTCCCACGAGAGTTTCCGTTCGACTGTTGCCATTGTGACCTATGGTCACTTCATGGAAGTTATTCTTCTGGAGCAGATCCTTAGGAGTTTCCCTGCACAAGGTAGAGCCATGAATTCGTTGACTAAACGTTCTGCATCACGTCAACAGCTGGCTTATGTGTGGGGTAAGGTTAACCATTACAAAGCCATCTATGGATACAGGCCAAATATTCCAATCTATGCACAATAAATAGATGTTATTAATTACAATTATAGGAGTTTGGACACCAAGGTGAACTAAATATATATTACCTGTGTATTTGTATGGAACTGGATGCTATTGGAATGGAGGGCTTGGACTGGTCCCTCTGCTTGCTTTTCGTGCAGCAGGCATGACGAGCCCTCTTGGGAGAGGCTGCACGGCGAGCCATGCCGCCCGGCAGCGCCGACTCTCTCAGGGTCTCGTCTGCTCGCACGCGCATGCGAATTCGCCGGTACAGCTCCTCCTCCCTGATCCGCTCGGCAACTGCGGGGTCGTACACGCTGCGTGGCACAGGCTTGGCCTTAAATCCACGCTGCTCCCCCGCATCTCCTCTGCCCGTCACCTCTGCCTGCTGCATCTTTGTCGTTGATTTGTCATCCCGCGAGGCTGTGTTAGATTTTTTATTTGGTTGGCGGTTGTCTTGGTGCATCGCAGTGAACAACGGCTTAAAAGTGTGAGCTGGCACCGGAGTGGCACGGAATTGTTTCTTTCTCAGGGCCTCCAGCTCCGCTTCTTGCTTTTGCTGCTCTTGCACGAGTTTCTCCAGACGACGGGCCGAGCGAGACTTCACCCCGTGCCGCCTCCTCTCCTCCTCCCGAACCGTCATACCGAAGGGCTCGGGTATCGTGATTTTTGGTGTCCACTCCATCGGTTTCTGGCAGATGATTTCAAAACGCTCATAAAATATCTGCTTTCAAAACTTATGTAAGATATCAAAAGTTATTTTCCACTCAATTTACCAACATATTTGAAGAAGTAATTTTCTGTGCTTGTGGCACGATACCTTTGCAGCAGATTTTCTACTCACTGATGTCAATGACTCGGACGTGGTTCGGACATGCTCTGGCTTCTCGCAGGGCGCGTAATCATCGACGCTGAACCCTTCCCACATGTGGTGGAGAAGCGAAGGAACACCGTCTCTGCCTTCGGCACGGCGCTTCACATTCAGATCCTCTCCATCTGACATTGCATGCTCATCTGAGCTGCTTCCTTCCTCCAACGAATGGTTGCTCCACCGAGCATCATCATGCAGGGATGAGCTTTCTCTCGGCAGTTCCGGCTGGAATCTGCAGGAATGACAATGCATAAAAACAGCAAAATGTTTTTCACAAAACGGCCTTAAACATACATTATGCAACGTTGTTTTCAAAATACACATCAATACACGAGCGTAAATATATCGATGCAGTAACATGTAAAGATATTTAATCACCTGTGACTGCTGGTGCCAGAAATGTTCACCCCAAATGCCAATTCCGGCATAAACTCATTGCGACCGTCTTCTGACTCGTCGGCCACTGAACACCTGGCGCGAGGACGTCGTGGGTCTCGAGAGCAGATGGAATCTCCTTCCTTGGCCTCCTGCCCCGAACCGTCGTGGCCTTGGCGATGGCCTTCATCGTCTGTATGGCGAGGAGTGGCCGTGGACTGATCGTTGCTGCCTCGGCGCCCCTGCTCACGGCTCAGAGCCTCCAGACGCGCGAGCTGCCTGCCCTGCAGCGTCTGCAGTTCCTGCAGCTTGGAGGCAAAGGCCTCACTTGAATGCTCACTCACCGCCTCTGCCAGCAGTGAGTCCAGCAGTTTCCTGGTAATGAAAGTGTCCTCCACACTTGTGGTCCGGTCTCTCCCGGTGCTCTGTGTGGGAGAAAACTATCCGTTGGAAGTCACATTTTCTGATTCTATAATAATAATTTTCCATTTGTATATTCACTGTTGAATGAAGATAAGCTAATGTCCTTTTTCTCTCCCGAATCAAGACAAATGAGGTTAATTAAAAGTAACAAGAGGTTTTTAACCTGTCACCGAGAGATAGTTCAACTTTTCTGCGGGCTGGCCCTCTTAAATTAACTTTCTGTCTTTGGAAGAAAATTGTAATTTCCTTAGGAAGACCATTCAGTTGAAACGTCAATCTCTTTTCAGGAAAACCCCAGGTATTACCTCTAATTGACCTGTTAATCACTGTACACGTATTCACCGAAGCAACGAATGTAAACAATGAGCACAAATGAGCAAAGTGCCATACAAGCTCTATAAAACTAAAAATTGTTAGTTTTTTTTCTCCTTCTGACGAAGCTTCTAACTCGTGTCTGGCAGCTCCACGCGCACGGCCTCGGTGTGCGGCTGCCCGATGAGACATTTCATGTTGAAGCTGCATCGTTCTCCCGTGTATATGGAGGCCTTCGGTGAATGGTCAGCATCGCCACGGCAACCGTAAACAACGCGAAATTGTGGGACCCAAAAGGGGGAGGAAGTGGCGGTCAGCGGCAATCAACCCGCGCCAACGCGGACGAGACCCAGAGCAGTAGCGACATGACACTGGGACCACGAGCGATGAGACGAAGGACAGCAGAAGCCACGACAGCCGCACACATAGACAGCTACCCCCCCCCCCCCGCCGCCGCTCACCCACTCGTCCACGCGGTCGTTCATCTATCAAAAACACCAACAGTGGTGTCCACTTGGCTCGTGCAATCTCAGCGGGGCGCATGTCTGTACCTGCTGCTGAATCCATGGGTTGTTGCCGTCGTCGCTGTCGTTGTCCTCACTGATGTCCCAAGCGGGTTCCCTTGACCCCGGGTCGGTCCGGGGTGACCAGCGGCGAGGGCTCGACCCGGAGCAGCCCGACCCGGCAGGCGACGACTCCATGGGCAGCCTCGCGACTCTAAGGCGACCACTTCCGGGGATGCGTGGGGGCGGAGCTAGCGACGGAGGGGGTGGAGCTAGCGACGGAGGGGGCGGAGCTAGCGATGGAGGGGGCGGAGCTAGCGACGGAGGGGGCGGAGCTAGCGACGGAGGGGGCGGAGCGAGCGACGGAGGGGGCGTAGCTAGCGACGGAGGGGGCGGAGCGAGCGACGGAGGGGGCGGAGCGAGCGACGGAGGGGGCGGAGCTAGCGACGGAGGGGGCGGGGCTAGCGACGGAGGGGGCGGGGTTAGCTACGATCGGGGGCGGGGCTACACATGAGGGGGAGGGGCTAGCAATACCGATGAGCTATTGCCCGAAACGTCGCCTATGACAGCACAGGGGACTCCTCTACTTACGAACTAGTTAGGTTCCAGAGATCTGTTCGTAAGTCCAACTTTACTCCTATCGATTGTACGGCGTGTACACTAAATACGGGGAATGGCTTTAAAAGTGGTATAACCTCCTGTAGATTGAGATGCCACTGGTTCTTCATGTTCTGTAGATGTCACTGGTTCTTCATGTTCTACGGATGTAGATGCCACTGGTTCTTCATGTTATGTAGATGTAGATGCCACGGGTTCTTCACGTTCTGCAGATGTAGATGCCACTGGTTCTTCACGTTCTGCAGATGTAGATGCCACGGGTCCTTCATGTTCTACAGATGTAGATGCCACGGGTTCTTCATTTTCTGTAGATGTAGATGCCACTGGTACTTCATGTTCTACAGATGTAGATGCCTCGGGTTCTTCATTTTCTGTAGATGTAGATGTCACTGGTTCTTCATTTTCTGTAGATGTAGATGCCACTGGTTCTTCATGTTCTGCAGATGTAGATGCCACTGGTTCTTCACATTCTGCAGATGCCATTGGTTCTTCATGTTCTGCAGATGTCACTGGTTCTTCACGTTCTGCAGATGTAGATGTCACTGGTTCTTTATGTTCTGCAGATGCCATTGGTTCTTCACGTTCTGCAGATGTAGATGCCACTGGTTCTTCACGTTCTGCAGATGTAGATGCCACTGGTTCTTCACGTTCTGCAGATGCACCTAGTTCTTCATGTTCTATTTTTTTGCTTGCGTTGTGGCCGAAACGTCGTATTTTATTATGTTTTATTTTATTATTTCCCTTTTACGTGACTTTACCGAAAGAACCAAGAAGATCTTCATGTTCTGTAAATATAGTCACTGTTGAATGAAGATAAGCTAATGTCCTTTTTTCTCCCGAATCAAGACAAATGAGGTTAATTAAAAGTAACAAGAGGGTTTTAACCTGTCACCGAGAGATAGTTCAACTTTTCTGCGGGCTGGCCCTCTTAAATTAACTTTCTGTCCGTGCAGATGCAACTAGTTCTTCATGTTCTATTTTTTTGCTTGCGTTGTGGCCGAAACGTCGTATTTATTATGTTTTATTTTATTATTTCCCTTTTACGTGACTTTACCGAAAGAACCAAGAAGATCTTCATGTTCTGTAAATATTTTTTGTCTATTTGTTTGTCTTTCTTCCTTGTGATGGGACTTTGTAGGACGAGCGTTGAGATGTATAAGGGGCACAGGGTGACCAATACGGTTTGAATTGGTCCGAAATAAAGTAGGGCACTGATAAGGGGTTGACGGGTATGAGATAACGCATCCTCCACCTCAAATGCAAAAACACATTCCTCCTGCGGAGGCAGCTGGTTAGAACGTTGGGTTGCTTGGTCAATGGCCAGGGTCAACCGCGGCGTGGTGTATTCCGCAAATATGCCCGACTGTGAGGGCGGGCACAAGCCGGCGTGAGTAGGTTAAACGTTGAGTTTTATAAGGGCACCACGGGGTGACCAGCCCCTCCCCACCCAGCCCCACCCCTCCCACCCCCACCCAGCGCCTACCCACCCTCCCCCTCCCCACCCAGCACCACCCTCCCCACCCTACCTAGCCCCTGCCTCCCTCCCCACCCAGCCCCTCCCCACCCCCCCCTCTCCACCCAGCCCCACCCCTCCCATTTTTGTATACACGACGGACGGACGGACACAATAATCCCCTGTGGGCTGGTGGAACCAGGAGGTTCCTACCAGTATTATTATTGAAGTAGATGACATCCAACCAACCAATGGTCTTCATCCGTTTCAAACAAACTTGAACGCCTTCGTCAATCAAACCGCGACCTCCAATGTCAGTACCACCGCTCCCCGCGCCAATCTGCGCTCGCGATGTCATGGGCGGGGTGTGGGGTGTAGAGGGGAGGTGTGCAGGGGTGTGAGGTGGGGGTGTAGGGTGGAGGTGTGGGGTAGTGGGGGGGTCTCGGGTGGAGGTGTGTGGGGGTGGTGTGGGGGGTGGGGCGTAGGGGGGGGTAGTGGGGGGGGTGAGGTGGGGCGTAGGGGTGTGGGGGGGTGTGTTGTGGGTGGGGGTGCGTGGGGTATGTGGGGGGGATGTGTGGGGTGTTGGGTGGGGGGGGGTGTTGGGTGGGGGGTGTGGATGGGGGGGTGTGAGGGGGGGTGTGAGGGGGGGGTGTGAGGGGGGGTGTGAGGGGGGATGTGAGGGGGGGGTGTGAGGAGGGGGGTGTGAGGGGGGTGTGAGGGGGGGTGTGAGGGGGGGTGTGAGGGGGGGGTGTGAGGGGGGGGTGTGAGAGGGGGTGTGAGGGGGGGGGTGTGAGGGAGGGTGTGAGGGGGGGTGTGAGGGGGGGGGTGTGAGGGGGGGGTGTGAGGGGGGGTGTGAGGGGGGGATGTGAGAGGGGGGTGTGAGGGGGGGTGTGGATGGGGAGGGTGTGGATGGGGGGGGGGTGTGGGGGGGGGTGGATGGGGGGGGTGTGGATGGGGGGGGGTGTGAGGGGGGGTGTGAGGGGGGGGGTGTGAGGGGGGGGATGTGAGGGGGGGGTGTGAGGGGGGGGATGTGAGGGGGGGGATGTGAGGGGGGGGGATGTGAGGGGGGGTGTGAGGGGGGGGGTGTGAGGGGGGGGGGTGTGAGGGGGGGGTGTGAGGGGAGGGGTGTGAGGGGGGGGTGTGAGGGGGGGGGTGTGAGGGGGGGGTGTGAGGGGGGGGTGTGAGGGGGGTGTGAGGGGTGCTCCGGTGAACGCATCCGCCACCCGGGGGCGCTCTCCGACCTCCCCCCCCCCCCCCCCACCGCAGCAGCTGTGCTCATGGCGGCCTGCGTGCCCTTGTGCCGGGGCGCGCTGCGCGGCGCCTGGACGCGAACTCTGCGGCGGCTTCTGTGCGCCCCGGGGCGGCAGCACGCGGCGGCCAGGCCGTGCCACCACGCCGCCCGGGGCGTGGGGCACGGGGGGCAGCAGCAGCAGGTGGAGGAGGAGCCGCACTACGACGTGGTGGTGTCCGGCGGCGGCATGGTGGGCACGGCGCTGGCGTGCGCGCTCGGTGAGAGAGGCCTGGTTGTCCGACGCGTCGCGACCGCCACCACCTGCATTGCGCGTGGGCCCCTCGTTGGCAGATGCTCTGCGGCCAACTTGCGTAGGGGTGGGGGGGGGGTTGCAATGATGTACTGGCGGTGCGATTTCGGGGAAACGACGCCCGCGTGTGTTTTGAGTGTATTTGATGCACTTTGAGTTTTTTTAATGACGGTACGCGGTTTTGCAACGCGTTGAAGTTGACTTTGGGCCCAAGTGGCTTTCTCTCACACCCGTGGTAAGATGGTCGCGCCGGCTTCAGGAGGGCATGGCATGCAGCCTGCAAGCGCCAGAGGTCGGTTGCTTTGCTCGATATAAATCCATACCTGTCAGCCCCTTATCCGTCTCAAAGAGGCAATGCAATATGTTGCCAGAGCATGTATTTGTTTGCATGTTCGCCGCAGGTACGCGTGGTTCATGCAGACGATTCCTTGCACAAGGTTTCTGTTTGGTGTTTGAACATCTTAACACCTCGATTTGAAGCTTTCGTGACTGCAGGGATTCATATTCTTGGTTCTTTCGGTAAAGTCACGTAGAAGGGGAATAATAAAATAATAAAAATACAACTATACAATTCTCACGACAATTTTCTTGCTGTAGTTTTCACACCTGATGATGATTGCTTGTGTTGCAATCGAAACGTCGATGAGAATTATTGTTTTATTCGTATTATTTTTATTATTTCTCTTCTACGTGACTTTACCGTAATAACCAATAATATCTTAACACCTCATTAGACCTCATTTGGTCTGGCAGCAATTGAGACGAGGCTCAAAAGAAAGCCGTCTCTGGTGTGGACCATTCAGTTTCAAGGACAATGCATATATTATCAGAGTGTGTTTTTTGTTTGCATTTTGACCACAAATATTGTGGTTAATGCACACATGATTCCTTGTAAAAAGGTTTCAGTTGTGTTGCCAGAAAAAAGGGGAAAACCCCTATTATTATCTTAACACCTGTTTTATTGTCAGAAAGGGTAAACACCTATTATTATACACTTATCAGTGCTTACCTTATTATAGACCAATTCAGACCTTATTGGTCACCCCGTGTCCTCCATCTCAACGTTCATCCTCCATCACATGGGATAAACACAAATAGACAATGTTTTTGTTGTTGCCCGTATTGAAACGGCTGTATGCCGTATGGATCTGAAAACTACATTTCCCTGTATAAGGTTACGGCTAAACCGTATGGGTTGACGGGTATGCAAATATTTTTAAAGCGATTTCACTTTGGTCACGCTGACTTACATTGCACACTCAGCAAAACTCTGACAGTGTGCAATGTAAATATATTTGATTAAGGTAAAATGTCTGTATCGATCAAGTTATTGTATGCCATCAACCAGCAGGTCAATTAGGGATTGCTGGCTTTGGTATAAAACGCTTAGATATGCAGTATAACGCTTTTCGTTTTTACGGATGAGCATTACAAAAATATCTTAATGGACCATAATGTGGTGTTGTATGAACATTGCACCGGACTTCAATGGATCGCTGGCTCTGCGGGCTCATTGCTCCATGGGCTGATAATGACCCATGTTAATGTGTTAACGGAATTATTAATTCATTCGCCATAACGGTCGCCCCATTATTGCATTTGAGATA